TGTTTGTGAAAAGTGCAGTAAAAACAGAATACTATTTTATCGTACTCCAGTTTTCGCTGCCTGATTGGTAAGACTTATTTGATGGTCAACATTGCGGAAAATCGATCTAAAAATATACTGGTCTGTGAAAACGCCGTTGCATGAGAAATTCACTTCTGGTTATGGGCTCCTGTTCCTCCTCCTGTTCCTGCTTCTGTTCCAGGAGGGGTGGGGCGAGGGGGGGGTACGCATGCAGGGGAGGGTTCAGGGAATCCGGAATTAATGGTGCCTTAAGTTTTTTTTAAACGCTGCTGTAGCTGCTCTATAGTTTTAGCGACAATTTGTTTAACTAGGAAAATACAACTATTCAGTGCGAGAGTTTTCTCTGGCACAAGACATTTACTCTTACTTCGTTAAACATATTTGCTTGAAATCACATTAATCTCCTTTTGCGCGAGAAATTATTCTAAACGCAACTTGTGCATGCGTTTTGAATTGCTGTATAATTGCTGATTGTTGTAAACAGACCTATAAATGAGCTACCGTATTTATTCGAATAAGCGCCCAACCTCGAATTAGCGCCCACCTCGAATAAGCGCCCATCTCAAAGGCAGAAAAAGTTAATAAGCGCCCAGCCTCGAATAAGCGCCCACCCCCTCCTCCTCCCAATCAAACTCAAATAAACGCTCACCCCCACCCCACCCAATTGAGTGAATAAATTCTAATAAGAGACTTCCCGGCGGACGGAGTTTTCTTCAGAGTATTATACAGAAACCTTTCTTTGTTACTTCTTCCCGTTTTGTTATTAGCATTTATTGTTTTGTTGCAAAATAAACATACTTCACTTGCTGAAAATAGTGAAAATTTAATAAGCGCCCAGCCTCGAATAAGCGCCCACCTCGAATAAGCGCCCACTCTCAAGGTCCAAAAATTTAATAGGCGCCCAGGGCGGTTAATCGAATAAATACGGTAGTCCAAATTTACCCTTTGCCATAAGCCTGTATTATAATGCATCATAAGAAAGGAACAATCAAATAGCAATACTAAAAAGAGGTCGTCATACATCAGTTTAAAACAACAAATATGGCACACTAAAAAAAACGTTTATTAGATGATGTTCTTAAAGAGCAAATATAATTGTTTTCTTAGATGGTTACAAACATTACAAAAATTGTATGATTTTAAATGTGTCAGTCTAGAACGTATATAAAAATATAAGACATAATAAACCTATTAGTTTATTTATAATAACTATATTCACTATACTCAATATACTATACGGACCAAAATAACAGCCTGTTAACTTTGTCAGAATGGCGTCGTAACAAGTTGGGTTAATACTTAATAAATTGAGCAAGTTAAGAAGATACAAGTTTCTAAGCTCTAAATCTAAATCTAAATCTAAATCTAAATCGAGGTCCCGATGAAGCACTCATAAAACTCGACAATTTATAATTCCTGCTAGAAAGAATAATCTAGATTAGTAAAATCCCACTAGTGGTCTATTATCAATGCTGCGTTCTGATTGGTTGAGCTACTACTAGGCTATATGTTATAGCCCACTGGTAGCGAAAAGCGCCGACTTTGAAAACCAAAACAATGGCTGCTGAATCGCGTTTTGCTGGTTAAAGTTGTTTTGTCTCAATATTTTTGACCAACTAGTTGGATGTTACTAAAACAATTACTCCTCTCGCCCTCATGGACTCTGAGTCAATGGCCTATTCGGCCTTCGGCCTCATGGGTTATTGACTCAGAGCCCATTCGGGCTCGAGGAATAATTGTTAAATATTCTCTCTTGATTCCAGCAATTCAAAGTGCGGCTGCAATTGGCTGTAATATATACAACGCCAAGAATTGTGAGATATCTACTGCTATGAAAATGTTCTTGCTTTTTTTCCAATAGAGTGTTTTCGCATGACGTCACCGCGGCCATATTGGTGTCCCAAAACAATGAAACGGCTTCCATGTTGGTGTCCCAAACCAGTCCCCTGGGAGTTGAACTCTTTTCTTATGCAAACGCTTTCTTTTGTTACAATAAATTTGCATATATGCTGGCCACCTGCGTGAAAACAATCACTATTTTTTTCTTTGAAATTAGCCACATTGCTATGCGATGTCGACGCGTAGAATTTTCGGCAGCGCAATTTTTTGCAGTAGGAGGACTGGAAATGAATTAGTCATTAATTTATATTACCCTACCGATTTGCGTTGGGGTTAGGGTTAGGGTTACAGAGGATGCTCAGAACAATAGGGTTTTGGGAATGGGGATGCCCAGAACGCGGGGATGCTCATATCACTGTGATACCGGTATTACCTGACCTTTTGAAGGTCTGGTCACGACTCCTTAACTTAAAATGCCTATTAGCTATGACGGGTTAAAATATCGTCTTGGAAACAGCTTGTTAACACTATGTTTTTAAAATTGGAAATACATGCTTCTTTCATGGTTTGAAATAACATCCTCCTTGTCACCAGTCTAGTCCCGGCTGAAGATTATTTGCTGCATTTACCGAATCAGATCGTAACTCAACTACAGACGTTGAATTCGATGAACAATTTTCTACCCTTACCATATCCATCTTAATACAGTTCCATTTTTTCGTGATCATTGAGGAAAGTTTTCGAATATGATATAATGGCTTTTTTATAGTCTGGAGAAGCTTGTTTTCCATGTAAAATATCTTAAAACGACATATCTAGGTAGAAAAACAAACAGAAAAAAATTGCAAATTTTTAAAAAGCGAAATTATTGGTTAACCCATTTGAAAAAGGGCTAATTTTCCAACTATGTTGAAATTTTATTTATATGGTCTGGTAAGGCTTAGTTTCTATTCAGAACATGTTTAACTGATATGTCTATACCCGATTTAAAGGAAGAAATTTAGATTTTCTGACCAAAATTATGGGTTAAAAAATGCTGATTTTTCGATTTCAATTATTAATAGTCGAACTCAATTATTATAGTCTAGAAAGGCGTCCTTTTTATCTAGAACATCTTAAAACAATACAGCTTGGCCTGATTTAAAGAAAATAAAAAATATAAGAAATTTATAATTTTTTGAGTAAACTAATGGAAAATGCAAATTTTATGACCATGTTAAAATGACATTTTGATAGTCTTGAAAGCCTTTTTTTTTCTATCTATAACATCATCTAACGATATACCTATTGTTTTTTCCATGGTAAAACGAAGTTGAAAAAAGTTTTAAATTTTTGACCAAATTAATGGGTAATTCCTTTGGAAAAATTATAAAAAGAAAATATAAGGCCTGATTTAAAGAGAAACAAACACACAGAAGAATTAAAAACTCTTGACGATAATCTGAATGGTTAGCTAAAAAAGAAATTTTTTGACTATGTTAAAATGACATTTTTACAACCCAGAAAGCGTTTTTTTTTTATCTAGAACATCATCAAATGGTTTATCTAGGCCAATAACGACATACAAACAAACAAAGAAACTTGGAAGAAATTTTAAGTTTTTGACCAAGATCATTGGTTAACCCTTATGGATGACCAAAGATCTTAAGATGCAAAATCACCTTTTTTTCGCCTTAACATTTCTAAGCAGCATTACGTTTTAGATTTTGATTATCTACTGACGGAGAAAGAAAAATAATTTTGAGCCAGGGTCAAACCATTGCAAAAATTCAAGATGGCGACCTTTAATCACGCTTTCATAAAGCTTTGCAAAATCCTTTTTTGCATTCTTCAACATTTCCAAACATCATTTCGTGGTGCATTTTGTTCATGAAGTAACATATAAAAAATTTCCACTTTAATCCAGATTCAATGGTAAAATCCCCGCAATAGAGCTTATTCACGATACCCACCATCTTTGCACGCGCTTAAGGACTGATGGGATAAAAGCAATGTCACGTGGTTTCTCAGGGGGCAAACAAGTGAAAAAATAAATATCTCATCGATCCTAAGGCGCATGCAAAGATGGCGCGTATCGTGAATATTTATCAATTAATGAGTAGGATATGAAGAATTAAGCAGATCGAGGGAGGTGTTATCTACCGAGGCCGAAGGCCGAGGTGGATAACACCCTTCGAGATCTGCTTAATTCTTCATATCCTACGAAAGCAGAATTCATTGATTGCTTTATTATTCATTCAAAATATTTCCTAGTTTAAAAACATAGCTAAAACATGCTTACCTTCATCGATGTTAAGTTCATGTTTAGGTTTGTGCAGCTCCGCAAATATTCTCCAAATAGCAGATGTCACCCTCCGAGTTGTCTTCTTGCTGTTTTTGCCATGTTTTTAATTATTATTTCGCCTAGTTCCAGCTGTTTTTACTCTTGAAACGAGTGAAATCTCAGCCTTTTTTTTTCACAACCAAAACAAATCAACCTCGTCCTCAGGTCTTCTCGGTAACGGTGCCTTAACCCGTAGAAGGCTGCATTTTTGACGTCATTTCCCCGTTAATCCAAACTTGGTCATCAGTAACTGGTTATGGTGAATTAAGCGTACGCTTTTAGCCAATCAGAATTGGGGAAATATTTTGAATGAATAATAAGATCTATTTAAAAAGGTAATGACGTCATGTCGTTGCCATGACGACTTCGATGTAATCATAACACTAGCCATAACAAATGTTTTACGTTTATCTGATATAAAACGCTGTGGTCATTATCCTGTATCTTTGTTGGGAGGTATTGGCCCTGAAAAATCCAGTCAAGCCACCTTAATTTAAAGGTACAACTTTATTAAGTTTATTACTCATAAGGCAAATATTTTTCTCACGGGTCTTATAACGATGCGCGAGTTCTAGCGACCATGAAACGTTAACTATGCAGCAGTTATTAAGACTGCATTTTTAATGAAAAGAAATAAAAATGAAAAAAGAACTACAACACTCATGGAAAGAAACAGATGTTTCTTAAGCATGAAATACTCGACTACTTGATCGCAGTTTAAACATGTTTTGTTTGTTATTGCGGCGGCTATCTTTAATGTTTTTTTGGTTTGCATACTAGGTCAATAATATTTAACAATGACAATAATATTTGCATAAAAAAGCTGGCTCCTCGTCTATTTTCTTTGTGTTTAAACGGTTTATGCCAAATTTTTAGGTCAATACAATCGTTGGTACCCAAGCCTTTAAACGTAACATTGCAAAATTGTGCGAATTCTACCAAGGCTAAAAAGGCTGCGGTTGTGTATCCATATCATTCTCTTATTATTATTTGTTGTGGCGATTTATCGTGACAGCTCATTTAGAGGGCAGAGATTGAGATTGGCCGAGATTGGATTTGTTACATTCTGGGCATTGTATTGGACATGTTTTTTCTTAAGCAGCAAAGAAGACTTTCAAAAGAAGAAGTTGATTAGTTGTATTGTCTAAAAATCGGCATCGATCGTTTTCAACTCCACACGGGCTGACTGACGCTTTTAGTATCTACACAGTTTTAAGTATTGACTTTAACCCTTCAATCCCAATGTCCACACACAAATTCTCTCCAACGATCTCCATACATCTCCTCAAATAATTAGAAAAGAGAATTTGTTTTACGAACAAAACAGTTTTGTTGGTCACTTTTGGAAAGGGTTAATATGCTTGAATATAATAAAACTTTAACTATAGGCTTTTGGCCTAAACAGGAACTACTAATGGTGAAACTACTGATTCCGTCGGAAAGGTTTCTACTTAAAACGCTATTATGACACTATAAATGTATATGCTTCTAAACAGTAACATGACGTGTTTCCATAACACAGCAGAACTGAGTCTGTAGAGGGTTAATGCCTTTTTTCATCCCCTTCATCTACATTGGAAATAGCGGCTTTGTTTTCACACGTAGTCGTTCTGTATGGTGTTAATTGTTTTCCAGGCCAGATAGCTTTTGATCAGTTCGTAGCAGAAGTTGTACTGTTCCTATAACACAACGTAGAAATTATGAGTTAAAACGGCATCAATTTGATCACACGCGGTAGCAGCAACTAGAAAAAAACAGAAGTTATGGCACTTAGCTATAACGACTAGAATTATTCCGTAATTTGCAAAAGTAAACACAATCATAAAGGATCGTTTAGAGGGGCTAATAAAGCCAGCTTCAAAAACTCTTGCCACTGTGATGTTACATTACTAAAGCCGGCAATATTGCTTCAGCAAGGCAAGTCAGGCCACCGCAGAATCATGATTTAGTACCATCTGACGTGCTGCTACTTTGCTAAACTCATTTCACTAAAATAAAATAATTCAACGGAAATACATAGAAAAAGTTGGCTAAACTAGCTAATTTTCGAACTTGACATCAGACGAAGCCGCTTATGTCGTAGTAGCAGTAGCAGTAGCAGGAGTAGGAACAGGAGCAAAAGCAGGAACAATAGAAGGAGCAGTAGCAGGAGGAGCAGGAGCCGGAGGCGAAGCAGTTGCGCGCAGGAATAGGAGTAGGAGCAGCAAGAGCAGGAGCAAGAGTAGTGGCAGCGGGAGGGGTAGCAGGAGCAGGAGCAGGAGCAGGAGCAGGAGCAGGAGCAGGAGCAGGAGCAGGAACAGGAACAGGAACAGGGGCAGTAGCAGGAGCAGTAGTAGCCTAGGAACAGGAGCAGTCGAATTTGCAGTAGCAGCAGTAGCAGGAGGAGTAGGAGGAGCAGGAGCAGAAGAAGCAGCGGAAGGAGCAGTCGCAGTAGGAGCAGTAGCAGTAGCAAGAGCAGACACAGGAGCAGGAGCTGCAGGAGCGGGAGCAGTAACACGAGCAAGAGTAGGAGAGGGAACAGTAGCAGGAGGAGAAGCAGCAACAGTAGCAGCAGTGACCAACCCTTCTGTATATCTGTCATGGGTTGTGTGAATGGGTCAGAGGGAGGACAACTCGCATGAAAACCATGCGTCCCTTTCGTGCATATCCTCATTGGGTAAATCTGTGCCCAGTAAGGCTGATAAAGTAAACGAAAGTTTATTTACCTGGCTAGATACCAATCCGGCTCTCTGTGACCTGAGCCATCGTACGGTTTGAAAGATGTCTACGTTATCTTCAGTTTCCAGTCTCTCGATACTTAAACACAGACTGAGAAATACTCCGGTGCGTCCATCACCATTACTGCACCAATAAAGAGAAAACGATTTAGTATTGTTTTCTACTTTCTCTAACAGCAACAAAAAGCTACCAAGAGAACTGGCCCTAGTTGTTAAGAAGGTGAATGAGTTACTGTCCACACAATTGGTCCCCTTTATAATGCGTTCTCACTCACTTGTCCAGCATCTATGATAATTTATTGGAACAAAATAAAGTGTTTACTATAAGAAAAGAGTCAACTCCAACAGGACTGGTTTGAAAGAACAACATGGCTGCCGCAAGGTCGTTTGAAAACGCTGTATAGTTACCCCTGTAGATAGCAACTTATACAATGCATAATGCAATACCGTAAACTGCCGTATATTTATCCTTGGGCTCATCGCAAGGGAGGGGCCTATATCAGAGGGGTTCATAACCGTCTAATCAAAATTTGTTTTCATTAATAAAGCTTTTAAGGTTCATTGACAATAAATCAAATTCGTTTCAATACATTTGAAGAGGGCTTATATCCGGGGGGGAGGTTATAATCGGATGTAGATGGTAGATGGGCATGTAACTTGCGGAGGAAGGGGAGGGGGGTGGTTATCAAAAACTCGGAGCAGAATTACATTGACCCGTTTTCAAGTTACATATACCTGCAGTGTATAATGATGGGACCATGATGTTCTCGCCCAAGCTGCACTTTGTGGAGTTGTTGCTGTAGGTACACTAGAGAATGGGCCTGAGGAAGCCCAGTTTCCCCCCAACGGCGGTATTGAAAGTGATATAATAGGTGAGTGTCATCACTCTGCGTGTGAAATAAATAGAGGATATTACATGGCCGCGCGGGGATACGAATTTTATGTTCGAGTGCTGAAAGTATCTCTCACGAGTGAGCGAAGCGAACGAGAGAGATACTTTCAGCACGAGCATCCGTAGTAAAATACACAAGGAAAACGTTTCAGTGCCTAAAGATAGTTTAAAATAGTAAAACTGGGGCATGATTTTTGGAATCCAATAATGTGAAGAAACCCTTTAGCTTTTTAGAGAAAACAAGTAATAAAATAGCGAAGTATTTGTCAGTTCTGATGGACAATGTAAGTGATATAATCTGAGGATTTTTGGGGGCATTTTAAGAGTTAGTAGTTGATGCTTTGAACTCACCCCTTGGCGCCGTAGTTTAAAAACTCTTTGGGTGTGGTCCTCCAGTCGCTCCTCATCGATTTTCGCCACTCGCAACCTTCCATACTTGCTCCATCCCTCTTCTGGCCAATATCGAGTATCGTGCTCCTTACGTAGACAATTATTTGTACGTATCGTTAAATTATTTAAACAGTCAGTTAGCCAGCCAGTATAGTTTTACTGGTGCGTTCTCTTTTTTAAATATAGATGAGTTCAGTGACACCTAGCTTCTTGGTCCTTAGGTTTAAGTCTAGAGATACTAGAATTACTGTTATAAGATAGATTTTTCTTTTGTCAAGATCTCTGTCATTTCCCGTTGAAACCTTCTTTTAACACTGCCATTTCGTACGTGCAACCAACTAACCTGATAAGTCACTAGCCAAAAAAGGACAATAAAATAATAAAATAATAATACGTTTTAACTGAAACAATCTGCATCGAATACATCAGACAAGTTCTCTAAACGTAAATTGCAAAACATGTAGGTAATTTCCCACTTCCCAAACCCTCACTTTCATAGTGCGGCCAAGAGCAAAACTTTTAATGGAAAATTGAGGTTTATTTGAAGACAATTATTTTTTTTTCATATCAAATAGTTCGCAATTGCCCTCTTAAAAAATAGAGAGAAAAAATGGAGGGAAAAAAGGGGGGAGGGGGACTCCGATAAGGTCTATTGATACGGTTTAATTGGTTGTCTTAAAATTGCTTTACCATTTCATTATCTGTTAAATCACTGAGCATGACCACTATAGTTGACCGCTGTTCCCATACCATGCGCCAGAAGTCGTCAACAGTGTTGGAGACTGGTGTCTGAGTGGCGACGTATAATCTACCTTCGTTGTAACTCTGGCAAAAATAAACGGCAACAATAAAAGTAAAGCTGAATCTTCAATTCAGAATCTCTCATTTTAGGCCGAAAGCGTCTCCTTGAAGAAGACTTTTCCGCCCTAAAAGGCAAATAGGAAAAACAACTTGAAACAAAAATAAAACTCGCCAATAGCAGAAACCACAATGAACTGAACTTCGCCTGAACTTGACCTACTGAGGTCAAGTGACCAGCAACCATTATTCCAACAGATGGATTAGCATCACTTATAAATTTCGTTTTTGCATGTTTGGTTTATGTGAAGGCTGATGTTTAGGCTGGCTCAAAAGTAATTTGTATGTGTAATCAAATGGCGTCATTTTACAGTTACAGCTGGTGAGGTAAAAACGAGGATAGGGTTGACCTTGTTTTGACACAACCCTTCCTGCTTTATTATGTAAATAATGTTGTTCTTATGCTAACTACGTATTCTTAAGCATAATTTCCATAAGAAGAGAAAAAGATTTTCACAAAAATTTTCCAGTACACACGAAGCGATTTGTCGCTGCGACGTGTCTTCGCGGCATGTTGCTGCAACTTGTCGCCTGGTGTGTACTGACCTTAATAATTTCCGGAGCCTTACATGTAATAAGCCTTTAGGCCTTTAGAATCCTTCTTGATGTACTTTGTTCGTAATTCCTACCGTTTTAAAAATTTCCCGACATCTTGGCACTTAGACGTACGAAAGGTTTTGCAATGGCAACTTTGTAATTTTTCATGTGAAAATATAAATTAATACTAAAACTATCTCCCCAAAATTAAGGGTTAATTCGTCACCTATTATAATATACCGTAAAATTCCGAAAATAAGCCCCTCCAAATATAAGCCCCCCAAACCGGTAACGCAAAAAACCCTCCGTTAAATCGCCCCTCCAAATATAAGCCCCCGGGGACTTGTACTTGGAAAATTGTCCTCAAATACAAAGTAAAACAAAGCAAAAACGGTAAATTTACTTCCAATTATAAGGCTAGCCCAATCGATTTTGAAACGCAAATTTCCTCCGTAGATAAGCCCCTTCGAATATAAGCCCCTCCGAAAATAAGCCCCTCAAAAAGGGCCTTTGAAAAATATAAGCCCCGGGGCTTATTTTCGGAATTTTACTGTACTTGTTTATACTAGTTAAAAACCCCGTATGGTGAAACGAGCGGCGTCAACTTACATCAATGAAACTGGCGTTGATGTAGTCTGATCCGGGTTCTCCAGGAATGGTCGTAAGATGAACTCTGTTGTGGTTGACTTAATAGGAAGAAGGAAAGAAAAAAAGAGGAGAGAGAGAAAGGAAAAGTAAACATGAGTTACGAAAACAAGCAGGCATGCAAGCTAACGCTTCAAATCTTAGTGCGAGGCACGGCACCTTACCGCAAATATAATGGGCAACCTCATCTAGCACAAAAATTAAACAAACGTACAAAACAGTGAAATCAATTATTTCCACCTGTACGAGGTCAAGGAGAAGAAAGAAAGGCAATACCTTTTATCGTAAACTTCTTTTCCAAAGAAATTGCTTTTAAAACAATCTTTACTTACAGGGTAGTATTTCAGGACTACGGTTTTTCGTTGTGTTTTCTCGAACTAAGGCGTCCTTGAAAATTGGCAAGTCGGTAGAGTAGACTTGAAGATTCTGTTAATCAGAAAAAAAAAGACAAACCAACCGTCAAAGGTACATTTAGTGACAAAATATTATCACCTATAATCTGCTCACTCGTTAATTTTTACATTATAAACAAAAAAAAAAAGAAATACTAATCTTGTTGTTCTTTCCTGTATTAAAGGAGCTAAATCACGCTCTGTTCTTTTTCTGTTGGGCTGTTTTTACATACAGCAAGCGTACAAAGTGTTACTAAATGGTTCGAGAACGACTAGTAGACAGCTTAACAACAGACAGAAAAATTACCACTCAGGGCAGTATTCAGATCGGGGCATGAGTCACAAGCATTCAGCTTTAAAATTCGGCAGGGGGAGGGGGACTTCACGAGTTTTTGGCTACCCCCATAACTCTTAAGAATGAGCTAATTGCCGTGACGACAACTAGTATTAAGAACGAGATAGGGCGAACCCCCGGTGAGAGGACCTTGGATAGGCCATGTTTAACCATGGTTTTACATGGTTTTACACGGTTTCTAGTCATGGTCTACCATTTGGCAGTGATACTACCCTCGTTATATGACAAACATTCAAATAAAAATTGTGTTCCTCAGATCATGATGCCTTAGCTTCCTTTTTATTCTTGCACCCACCCTTTATCCTATGGGCAAACTGAAAAAGTTTTGGCACTGATTGCAGGGCTGTACCTTGCCTAAAGTGAGGTTAGAAATTCGGGCACAACTCATGGTGTGACCATGTCTACTCAAGAGTAAGCTAACCTTAAAAAGAGACGGGTCACTGTCTTAAAGGAGCTAAATCACGCTCTCTTCTTAATGAATCCACGCTAACTCGAACTGTTTTTCGTTTCCTTTGTATCATTCTTTTAGACCTCCAAGTATTAAAAGAGATGTCTGAGGATACTTAGTTAAAATTTCAGCTCAGCTTTCTATTGTAAACGGCTTTCCGAAGAAGTTGCTTTTAAAAAGGAGATTATCTAATGTCCATTTTTTTCATTAATGTTGCCATACTTACACGGAATGAAGAAAATTTCATCTCATCTTTGACTAAAAATGTAGACCTTTTAATGACAAAGCCCGTTTAATCTTCTTTTTTCTAGAATTTTACTTTTAACGAAGAGAAATATATGAACGCGAAATAATGTGGAAGAACTTCTTTAAATATAAGCTGCGGGAGTCTTTGTCAGGACGTACCTTAAATTCTGCTGCCCTTTGTTCAGCAACCTCAGGCTCTTCCCCTGAGACACAAAGTAAACCACTACCCAGGTCATTTGAAGAGATAGTTGTGGTTCCACAGACAGATGCATCTTTCAGTACATCGTAAATAAACCAGTACTGTTCCTATGGAGAGACATAAAGACTGTTTATTTTCTTTACATTTTTGCCTTCTAGTTGATTGGCCCAGTTTTTAACCAACAGTGGTATTAATCAGATGAGCTGTTGGTGGCTGACAAACGCGATAAGGTGAGAAGTGCAGTTTGCAAAAAAAAGGACCCCTTCAACTGAAGGACATAGCAAAAAGATGAAAAAGCGTGAAGGGGTTTATCATCTTCTACGTGAATAGTTACGTCCCTAACCAGATATAGGAGAGACTGCCACGTCACACAAGGCCCGAACCAAGGAACATCAAGACTCGGTTAGTTAAGTCTGATTTGACGAAAACAAAATCAGTCAATAAATAAAAATTTGAAAAAACCAATAAACAACATGTTAAGATTATTTATTTAACGTTGGGTAAATTGATACAGGCGAATTGTGTAGGAGTGGCTAATTTTATATTAAATGAAACCGGCTCTAAGTGTTTTTACGTAAAAGCAAGTAAGCCGGTTTGAGTGGAAAGCTGGTTACAATTAGTATATTCATACTTTAATTCATAAAATTAGAAGTTTGGAAGAGTTGTAGCCTGCTGACACAGACGTATTTCCGATCATTTCTTTGTCACCCGAGAGAAGCGACTATGCGTTTGCAGCCTAAAAGAGTTGAGATCATACCTGTGTCTGTACCATGTAGTTTCTTTGCTTCCTCATTCGCGCTGTAAATCCAAACACGTCAGCGATCTTTTCGGCTTCCATCTGTTCCATCAGAGAATCAATAGCTATAAAAGCCCCTGTTCTACCAACACCGGCGCTGGAAATGATAAACACAGACACGGCAATGTCTTATTGAACATGGAGGGAACTCTTTTAATTTCGTTGAGGGGTCAATGATTCCAACGGGCGCTCCATGTAACGCTCAATATTGCAAACTTTCTTTATTGCCCTGCCCTGATAGTTAGTTGCGAGTCCATCCTACGCAGACACTGAAAACGAGCATTTGGTAACACCCATAGGTTCCGTCTACATTAATGCGCTCTTTTTTGAAAACGGATACATTTCGATGCGTTAGACCTTCCATCCACACTAAACTCTGAGTGTTATTAACGAAAACACATCAATTTTAAATTTGCTCCTGAATAAATAAATAAATAAATAAATAAACAAATAAACAAACAAATAAATAAATACCTGCAGTGAACCACAATAGGTCCTGGATCGACAGCGAGGGCACTTCTCAACTTATGATGAAACATTAAGAATGCTGAGGTATCCCGTGGAACCGAGTGGTCAGGCCAGGAGGTAAAGTGGTACTGGAATATATCTCGCTTTTCTGAACTCTCTGAATCTGTTGACTTCATTTTTGCAAATATAAGAAGATGTTTTAGGCAATAATGTAAATAATTTGGACAAGGAGACTCTGGACATATTTATATCAACTTGATTTGTCTGTCTTTAATTTGTTTTAGTAGGCGCTCTTTCAGGGATGCACGCGAGTGAATCAACCTTCAACGTATAAATTGAATTCGCTCGGGTTTATTCCCAAATGATGTTAATTTGACATTAGGAGAGATAAAAGAATAATTGACTGTTAAGAGATGTCAGCGCATCGAAAAGATATGTCTATAGTGTGTAACCTCTTTTAATATTTCTACTTACCCAGATAATAAACTCCCTGACTATCCAGTTAGTCATTACACAACTGCTTAGTAATGAAACATTCACATGACCATACTTTGTGGGCTCGGTCTCGTTCCAGTATCTCTCGCAGGTCGGTTCCTGCTGTATCAGGATAAAATTTGTATGTTACAACAATAAATATTAACTTTGATATCGTCTCGATCTTATTCCACGCGATTCACAGTATCATTCAACGCCTTTAACACTTTCCTTCAAATTTCCGAAACTAGGTATCTATGCAGCGATCCATCCTTACTGAATTCGCTGCTTTGGTTAAGGCCAAACGTCGAACTTTCCATGAACTTAACTCAGTAAGTTTGTTACGTCTCCTGAAAAGTTCCACTTTTGACCTAGGCCTTACTGACTTAAATCCTTAAACTGAAAGCAGAATTGGTTCAGAAATGCATAGTCTGGATTGCTCCATATTGACCCAAAAAGATCTTATCCGTCCCCAAGGAGTTTGGGCTGATTTAGCAAAAGAACGGGAACGTCATTTGAAGACGGGAAAGCGCGCGGAAAGGACTAAAACTCGACTTCCGGTGCCCAATTTGCCACTCTGCCATTGATCAAGCCAGTTGTTTGATTTGCGCGAGCCGTCGTCAACTGACGTTCCCGTTCTGTTGCTAAATCAGCCTATTAGGAAGTTCAAGATACCACGACGGGGACCGCCACGAAAACGTCACTTAAAAAGTGAATTTGCGTTCTTTCAATCTCTATCGCGATTACTCCATCTCGTTTACTTTGCCAAATACAAGCGAACTCCTTTTGAGCCGAATTCCTAAGAACCATACTCTTGAAGTTTAGAAACAGAAAGAAAATTTAGCCCTCCCTTGTTTACGTCTTCCATAAAACGTGAAATTAAGCATTCTCCTGTCGTAGTCGTGCAGTGACGGCAAAAAATGTACAAAGCGTGCAGAGTTTTTGTTTTGCCTATTTAGCCTACTGCTTTTTTGATGTTCTTGTTGTCGTCGCCGTTGTGGCATCTTGAAGTCCCTATTGCAGCCCTGAGAACGAGTGGAGACCGAGGTAAATGAAGGGAATGACGCATTTTTCGCCGCGCTAAAGGGATCATGAAACAAGAGGGTGGAGAGGGGGGTGGAATCTTTGAATTGGGGTAATGACCAGGGTCTAGGGTCGAGGCGGGTCTGGGACATGCACTAGTTAACGGGTCGACAGAGAACCAAAAGGTACGACAACAGAAAAGTGAGACGTGAACCTGAAACATGACGGACTTGGCAAAAAAAGCACTTTCTTTAGAAGTAAGGTACTAATTTTGGACACTATTTTTACGCCCACTGTTAGAGAGGGGGCTTTATGTGGCCTGTTATACGAGCCACGCGAAGCATCTAGTCCCTCGCGAGGCAAAGGCAGTACCTTCATTTCACTGTTATTTTTTATTAAGACCCCGTGACACCACAAGTGATGGTCTGGCCCCGAGAATCCAACTCGCGATCTCCAGCTCTGCATTCAAGCGCTGTATCAACTTAATCCTGCTGCGCAGTCAAAAAAAGAAGAAGAAAAAATGGCATGGTACTACTAAACAAATAAAGGCAATGTACATACCTCGTTTTGCATACCAATCATGACTATTGTTTTAACGTTTTTCTCCCAAATCATTCGCCAGAAATCGTTCAATGTGTTTTTCAAAGGCCCTACAAAGGAAAAGGAAAATTCATCTAGGTTAACTAAAAGACTGGACGAAAACTTACCAATGGTAAAATAGAAAAAAAAAAACTTTTACCTTGGGTTGCAATGTACTTGACTGGAGAGCTGTAACCCTACAGTGAAATTCAAAAATATTTACAGGATTTTACAGAAAACCAGGAATATTATCACTGTAAAAACGTCGACGTAAAACTGTTATAAATAACCTTTAAATTCCAACTTTCTTTTGAGAAGTGGGAAGAAAATGCTAATGTACCAGAATATCAACTTTATTTCAAATATCAGGGCTAATCTAGGCGGATAGAGTGTTAGTATCTGGTAACTGCCATTATTCATTGCTGCTACTTTTGACAAGCGTCAACATTCCCTTAAAAGGATTATTGACGGTAATAATAATAATAATAATAATAATAATAATAATAATGATAATAATAATAATAATAAACGTAATGATTTTTCCAATAATTTGGAGTTTCAAAGCAGAGAGAAGCAATTTCTTGCAGTTTTCTATTTATGAACTTCGATGTTTATTCGAATAAGTTATGGTTTCTTTGTTTTCGGTGGAGGTATAACTCTAGAAGATGCCAATATGCGGGTTCAATGATACACTTACATCCACATAATTAGCATTGATGTAGTCTGATCCTGGTGTATCTCTTACAGATTTCAGTATCACACGGCTGTGATCATCTACATATTAAAAAAGACATATTTCAGATTATCAGTTTAGCGTAGATAGTTACAAGCGGAGTTCTATACGCATAGCAGATACGGCCTAACACCAAGAAAGCAAAACAGTTTTCAATATAGTCAAACTCCTTTAATACGGATATTGAGCAGGCGGTGTTGGACACGGTCCGAAGGGCATCATGGGGAAAAAACAAAAAACGGCTCATTTGCATCTGACCTTCGCTTTGTTCACATCTCTCGTTACGCCATAAAAATACCGGGAGAAATAGTTTGATATGGGCATTACAGGTCTTCTTCCGCTTTTAAAGGACATAACATGCGATGTTCATTTGAGATCTTTCTCTGGAAAGGTGGCCGCAATCGAAGTTTACTGCTGGCTTCACAAAACTGTTATTTTCTGTGTTGAAGAGATAATTTTGGGATCGAAGCAACGCGGTACGTATCAACACATCGTTCTTACATGTGCCTAAAGTGCTTGATTTTAAACGTAAGCTTCTCTTTAGCGCTCTTCTCACCTCAGATTTCTTTTTCCAGGTACATTGACATGTGCATGAAGGATACTGATCTTCCCATCGAAAATAATATGCAACCTATTCTGGTTTTCCAGAAGAAGCTGGAGGCCAAGGCAAATGTAGAATCCTCCTCCTCTAACTTGTTGTTGTTGAGGACAACAGCAAGTTAGCGGAGGTTTTCTAGTCATTTTTTTCCGTATGAATTCAGTTTTATCTGTTCGTTATGTTTTGTATGATTTATTAGGAATCATGAAGAATCTCGCATACAGAAGGTTTAACTCCTTGCGGACAAGGGCAGAAGGAAGAAGCCAAGGAACTATTCAAAACGGAGGGCCTAAGGGCCGCTACGATGACATATATATTACAAAAAAATATCATATTTTTAAAGATGAATAAAAAGGAAATGAAAGAAAGTATTCTGAGCTGATCGTGTAGTGAAAGTATTCTAAGCTGGTTCGATCGTGACCGCGCGAGTATATTTATAATACTAAAGATGCCGCGGAATGGAGTCACGATTCACGCACGTAGGTATACTTCAAGTGGCATTTTGACCCGTAAAACGGCGGGGCCCGCTGGGGCCCGCCGACCATTTCAGATTCTTGAACAACAAAACTAATAGATTATGCTAAAAATGGAGGTCAGGGGTCGTTGAACACATAGAAGATGTAGACTGAAAAGCATAAACAATAGCTCTTAACTAAACAAAGGGATTATGCGCATGAAGAATTACAACGAACAATATCAATAGAAAACAGACATACATCATATTGTTTTAAGAACTGCGGCTTGCTACATCTGTCTACTCAAACTTTTCCAAAAAAATTATCGTAAATCACTTGATAAACGGCGAAAATCGAAGAAAATCGAAGAGACTACCCGCACAAAGGTGAAAGAATCATTCCGCCATCTGCAATGATGTGATTGGACAAAATTGGTCACGTGGACCGTGTCCAACACCGCCTGGATATTGAGGGAGCCATAGAAAGTGTCCATATTAACGGGGTGTCCGTATTTGGAGAAAATGTAGGGGCTTTTTTCCCAAGAGGCAAAGCAAACTGTCCGCGTCAATGAGGTGTCTGACTTAAAAGCGGTCCTCCGTAAAGCGCGGTTTGATTGTATCATTAACTTTCAGTGAGTGACAAAACTTCACCAACACTTTCATATCATTTGCTGGGTTTGATGAGAAAATGGAAGTTTGCCCTGGACAATCCATGCAAACCTTTATTAAATGTTTGTGGAAACTTTCCGTGCGTAAATGTGAGTTGAAACTTGTACAATATAGACCAATTGCACGATGGCGTGACTTTATTTCTGCTACAAGAATTCTTGGCGACCCATAGAGTTCAAATTAAATCAGTAAAAGAGGTTTTAAAGAGCTGCGAAGCTACTGAATCCTTCGGTGTTGTTTTATTCCTCACCGGAATTACCGGTTGTTTACCATTTACAAAAAGTTTCCCGGAAAATCCGGCTGGAAACCAAATGGAACACTGCTTTTCGAGTCGTTCCATCGGAAAATTTCCGGAAGCGACGGAACATCTGAAAAGGTGGTCCTGTCAGTTTTCTGGACGGAATATTCCCAACGGAAATTCGTGTTCCATTTCTCCAAAGCCGTCTTTGATACCAGTTTCAGGCGTTCGCAGTCTTTGCAGTAATTGAACTGATTGGAAGGAAATTTACCAGTCCTGAATTTTGCCTACCATTTGCCCAAACCATGGACCCGCTGGTTTGCCCATGTAAATGGCAAACAACCACCAAATTCAAATATCAAAGAAAAAACGAAATGAATTCTGGTTTTAGTAGTAAAAAGGCGTCATCGTGCAAATGGCCTAATAACTTATTGAACAAATTACTACAAATCAACAATACAAACACAGTGTAACAATAAGGAACATTGCAACATACACGCCACAATATTACAGTATCGGTTTTTGGCTCTGTTGTGGCCCGCTTGACTCGCTTCCCAGGATGATTTCCAAGTTATTTTATCAAGGCACTAAGATCAGAAACAAAAATTGTGAGTGGCAGCTTTTCTATGTACAACAGTATAGAAAACAACGTAGGTTGGGTATAATCGTCTGGGTGAGCGTAGTCCTGAATAGGACTGTTGTTGATAGTGAATGACATTTCCACAACCTGTGCTGTAGCCATCTTCAGAGTCAAAGTGAGTTGTATCGCGTCAGTTGGTGGTATTAAACTCTGGTTATTGATCTGATGAGTTAATTAAGTTGCAATTTTATTGGTCGTCTGTCAGTTAAGTCCTAATGTTCCTGGCTGTGGAAACTAGTAATGTCATTGGTGCGTTTCGAAATTCAAGTGCGTTTCGTTAACCAGAACGATCATACTCAACCTACTTGTGAAATGACTCCTCGGTTCAAACCTCTCACAGTATAAAAAACTTTTAATGATAATAATCGAAGATAACCGGGTGTTTTTGACGGTCTTGGAGCCTGTTTCAGTCTTAGCGACGTCACCAAAAAAGGTAAAGCGGAAATTAAGTGCCTTCGTTTTGTCATAGGGAAGTTACAAAGAGGAAAAAAAAGCTCGGGGGACGATGGGAAGGGACAAGAGAAGAAGAGAGTCTTATTCCCTCTTCCCATCATCCAACGCACTACTGGTGAAAAATTTTGAAGAAGATTGAAACAGATTGCAATTGATGCGTTTGAAAACTTGTTAGCCTCTAGGTTTTTTCAACCGATTCATTTTTGTTGTTTGTATCAACGCTTGGGAGATAAAGCTGTGATTTTGTAATTTGCAAGAAATTCCTCAAATTCTATAGCGAATAAGAACGAATAATTGAAATAATTAACAAAATATAAACTAGCTAGACAGGCGTGATATAGTCCCTTTACACTCTAAGAAATAAGGATTTCATACCTTAAACTCGTCATTAAATAAAGCGTTATTGTTGGCATGATAACGAGCACAATGCTCGGGCAGTTCTTTTACTGGAATCGGTCGACTGGGAAGGGCGCTTGTGGATATGATAGACACTGTAAAGCAATAAAAAGCTTAGTGTTTTCAAAGGATGTATCTTTAACCTTGTTATACGTAAGAGTTTGTTTACACCTTCATGAAAACGGGGCATTGTTATATACAGTCTAACCTTCATGCAGATGTCTGGACCTCTTCTCGGAAGAGACCCCCTGTGGTTTGATTCTTGTAAGCGCCCCCCGTAAGCGACCACTCAGTCTGCATTTTATGTGGTCGCTTACGGTAGGTTCGACTGTAGCTGGAAATTTGTTCTCAACAACGCGCGCTCTCATTGGTTACTTCAAGGTCACATAACATCAATAAAATGAAATAAATCAATAAAACTGTTTCCCGCCAAATTCTCTGAGTTGGTAACATCGCATAATATATGACGTAAGAGAATCTCAATGTTTTCCTCGGCTCCGTCTCGCGAAACATTAAGACTCTCGGGTAACAAAATTAACTGTTTCCCTCGTGACCTAGCCTGTTCCAAGCGTTCAGATAGTGGAGAGCGGTGCGAAGTAAAGAAAGCGATGAAAAGTAGAGGGGGACTGGGGAGAGAGGTCCCTCTCTCACCTCTCCTCCTCCCTCGCTTTTATTTTTTCGCGCTCCTTTTCACTTCGCACCGCTCCCCACTATCTGAACACCTGGAACAGGCTACTCTTGACCATTCATTAAGTGTTTAATATTTCCTATAAATAATACCCGCAACTTTTGCACGGTGCTGAGGATTGACGGGATATAAAACAAGCTACGTGCAAGATATCTTGGGGGGCCTTTACAAGCAATCGCGGTTAAGAACCATTCCACATAAGACAACAATAAAAAAGAACAGGTAAAAATAAAAGATGGGTCGAGGTGATTGTTGTGTGATCAACAACCGAATATATTTTTGCAGGTACGCAATAATGACGTAAGACATATGAAACTCGTATAATACATAGGGTTTGTCTGTAGGTTGATTTCCACTGTCGCGTAATTTTTATGTGCGTACGCACGTATATTTTACACACACAAAAAAAGACAATAGAGAGATTAAGATCCACGTTTTACGCCAAACGGCAGACGTGAATTTGTACCACGTGACCAAGTTTTCCACTTATTCTCCGTTTATTCTCTATTGCTTCTACACAAAAATAAGTAGTTTTATGCCAGATATAACCATAGGAATCGTTTGGTACTGTTTTTATCTGCTTATTTTCTATTCTGAGAAATTTTCAACTTGAGTCTGACGTTTGCAGTTTGCGGTAAACGTGAATCTTAATCTCTCTAATGTGGGAAGGTCACGCGTAAACGTAAAAGTTGAACCTCGCTCAACTTTCACGCTTACGCGTGGCCTTTCATACTTTAGGGAGCTTAAGCAACAACGTTTTTGAGCGACGCACGCCAACCGGAAGTGGCCTTTTTTCATTTTTTGACGGTGGTTTCGCGCAAAATTTTCAGTCAAATCGCCTCTATAAAAGTAAAGAAGCTAAGGAATACAAATTTTATATCATCAAGGCATGTTAAGAGGGAAAATACCTCACTTCCGGTTGACGTGCGTCGCTCAAAAACGTCGCTGCTTAAGCTCCCTATTGCCTCTATTTCATTTACGTGCGTAAATTATACGTGCGTTCGCACGGAAAAATTACGCGACAGTGGAAATTAACCCTAAGGGTGGTCTGTACCCCTTTACATCCCTGTATGTATTGTTGCCCATGAGTTATAGTTTCTATTGTTATAAGGCTTCAAGGGCAATGATTGTTTTATCGGCTGGTTGAGATACGCGATGCCAAGAAGCACTCGTTTGCTTTAGCGTTTCACTCCCCCTCGCAATGATCGCTAAAACGAAAAGAAACTGCATAGAGATTGAAAGAAGTGAAAACATAATTGAAAATAAGCCATCAGAAGCATCTAGTTATCGTTTAGTTGCCGGGTAAACAGAGAATCATAAATTAGATTATTGCATTACGCGAGTAAAAGAATGCAATTCTGTAGTACGCAGCAGTTAATTCAGGATTAATTAACGAAAACGCCCGCTCAATCAAGGGTATCGAATTTATTTGAATACCTTTAATTAACCCTATTCAGACTGGGGGGGCAAAATCAGGCAAAATCGTGATAACTCCTACACCGAAAGAGCTACGACGTTCAAATTTTCTGACTTTTCCTAAAATTTATCTAGGAACATTTTGGTATAATTACCATGTTCATGTGATTAATCATGTTGCCATGGCAACCAGTTTCTGACACATAGGTTTTGGAACATTTAAAAAATGGTGATTTTTTGTTTTAAGATCGCGTTTTTACACTTACAGTGCTTTTTGTTGTGAAAATGGTCTTTGCTTGGGACTAGTTTTTGAATTACATCAAAATGTTTCAACATCGAATATTTGGGGGGGAGGGGTGGGGTAAAATTTTGTCACTTTTTGCTTTGACAAATAAGCTGCTCTATTTTCCAAATAACACTTCCAAAGTCATTTGTTTGGGTAATAAACATTAGTTTGATACTTCTTTTATACATTCTGAGCTTTTTCCCCTTTGAAAGTTGCTTTAAATTATAATTTTAACAAAAAAACGGAAATCCAAGATGGCGGATCCAAGATGGCGGACAACCATTTCAAATTTTAAATTTTATTGCTTCCTATTGCTTTTTCTCGCTGTACAAGTGTTTCCTTGTTACTAGTTCATAAGAAAGGATAACAAAGAGATGACTTTACCAATATTATTGATATTTTACGTATCTAAGTGGAAAAATAATAAGAAACATTGAAAAATCGGAATATGACGTCACTGTGACGTCATCATTGGGCGTGGCAAGTCAAAACTGGGTGTGGGGCTTCTTTGTACGGAGATGATCATTGTGTGTAAATTTCATGACCCTAGCATTATTGGTTCCAGAGATACAGAGGGGGGGTCCGAGGAGCCCCTCCCAGTCACAGATTGACCAAAAAAGCCCAGTCTGAATAGGGTTAAGTTACTTAAAAAGAAAAGCACAACAACAAAACAAACAAACAAAACATTTTGCTGTTTCAGAAAAGTCGCTTTAATATAATAGAGCACCAGTTTTGTCGGTATTATGATTGTACCACTATAGAGTTTTAGCGAGCCTCAAGCTGCAGATTACGGAAATTTTACTTACGTTTATGAAGTTTTTCCTTAGACTTCTTTGAATTTTGCCTGCAAGAAAACGCAGTTTCACAAAGATGAGCTTCGTTTTGAGGATTGTTTTAGTTTGTGAAACAACGACAACAGCACTAATAAAAACAATAAACATACAAAAAAGCAAACTGAACATCTCAACATACAACTTGAAAACTTCCAATTTAAGGTTCGTTTATCATTGAGACGCAAGAGTTAACGCAAACGCAAATTTTTACACGCTTTTGCACACGCACTTGCGCTTGCATTTGCGTTGTTACCCATGTCCATTTCACTGGACGAAAAAACGGATTTACTAATGTTTGCGAAAGGTGCAAATATGTGGTAAATTTGGAGCTCCAAATTTGCATTACATTTGCGCTGTCGGCTAAGGTGTGGGCAAATACATATATTTGCTAGATAGGTATTGATACGCAAAAGTGAAGTAAATGTAATGGTTTGATACAAATTTGATACATATTTGCAGCATGGGCAAATCTTCAACATTTCTACCAGTTTACTCAAATTTACATCCTTGGCAAAAATGACAGTTTTCACTTTACTTCAAATGCAGGCAAAAATATTGCAAAACCCCTAATTTGCAGTGGTATTTGCTCTTGTTTTTCCAGGATACCAAAAGAACACTTTTGCATGTGGTTTACTCGTATTTGCCTTAAGAGCAAAAACAATAAATTTCTAGACATTTGGCTGTATCATAAATTTGCACATTTGCATCATAATTATCCATATTTGCAAGGGGAGCAAATATAGTGAGCTGCATAACATTTGCTGACAGTCAAAGGTGATGTGCATGTGACATTTCCTATATGTTTGATCCGTTTTGTGACTAAAGTAAATTTCCAATCTCAACTGTAACATTACATTGTTACAATAAAATTTTGTACACGCTGTGAGACTCCGCCAAGAGGTCCAACCCCTTACATGCATCTTTCCTGTTAACTGTTTTATGTGCACTGTCATTTTAATATAAAGGAATCAGAAACCAGTTAATTTTTTTTGACAATTTTACATTCACAAATTTCTTCTGTTAGTCTTTTTACAGAACAAAATGACAGATAGTCTACCCTGTCACATACTTTAACTCAGGAAATCCCTATCCTTTCATACCTGAAGCATGAAAAAGGTGTCCCTTTCTGACCGCGCCCCTGGCATAAACCTTTCCCGGGCTACTAATTTAAAGCAAATACACTAATTCAAATCCACTCGTTATTAAGGTCCAGTAGTCAGATCATTGATGCACTGTATTTCCTACAGTCAGGGCCATAGCCAGTATGAGGCAAACCGAGGCACTTGCCTCTGTCATTTAAGGTTTGATCTTGGCAGTGTTTGGTTTCAACGTAGCTATCATAAAGACCCTGAATAGCTAGGCGGGGAATTCAGCCATGGATATTGCCTCAGTCCTTACCTTTTTCTGTCTACGGCCCTTAAACTTGGGATACAAGGAGGATCTACAGGAGCTACCGGTCGAATTGTCAAATCCTACCTGACAAACCCCCATAAACAATGAACAGACCTTTATTGGGTTACAGGATCACAGGAGCTCTGAGTTGGCCTTAGATCATGAAAAGTCTAGAGCTATAAAGAAAAAACTAAGGTGGTGAAACAAATTAACATGCAGCCTTTAAACTTCTGGACTGGGTTGCTCAAAGATGGGTTAAGATAACACAAGGTTAGGTCCAGTGGTCAGATCATTTACTGTATTTTTTGTACATCATACCAAAAAATCAAATTTGGTCCGAAATAAAAAGTTTTGTGGATTTCAAACTCAGTGTTGTGATTATTCACTTGCACATAATTTCCTCATGGCCATTTAACCAACAAACTTAATTCAATTTAAAACCAACAATTTTAGTTTAACCAGTATTTGTTGTAGTTTTGACTGCCCACCTAGAGATGACCACATCTCGATGGCCGGCTTCCTAAAAATGACCACATTTTGAAAACCCAACAGCCAATACTACAACAAAATATGGTGAAACTGCTCACAATTTTATTTGAACATTAACTCAGCTGACAAATTTATGAAAGGCTAATTTTTCTTACTTTGTTGTTTGCAACCCTGAGTTTGAGTTTCACTGATTTTAATGTTGATTTTGAGTTTTACTGTTCATTAAGTACTACCTATTCAATCCAAAAAAGTCATAGCATTTTTGCTGGCTAGAATTCACCTGAAGCCTAGTTATTTGCTTGGGATACAAGGAGGATCTACAGGAGCTACCGGTCGAATGGTCAAATCCTACCTGAAAGGCCCCCCCCCTGCACAATAAACAATGCACAGATCTTTATTGGATTACAGGAGCTCTGATTTGGCATTGGATCATGAAAAGTCTAGAGCTATAAAGAAAAAACTAAGGTAGTGAAACAAATTAACATGCAGCATTTATCCTTCTGGACTGGGTTTGCTCAAAGATGGGTTAAGATAACACAAGGTTGGGTCCAGTAGTCAGATCATTTACTGTATTTTCTGTACATCATGCTAAAAAATCAAATTTGGTCCGAAATAAAAAGTTTTGTGGATTTCAAACTCAGTGTTGTGCTTATTCACTTGTACATAATTTCCTCATGGCCATGTAACCAACAAACTTAATTCAATTTAAAACCAACAATTTTAGTTTAACCAGTATTTGTTGTAGTTTTGACTGCCCACCTAGAGATGACCACATCTCGATGGCCGGCTTCCTAAAAATGACCACATTTTGAAAACCCAACAGCCAATACTACAACAAAATATGGTGAAACTGCTCACAATTTTATTTGAACATTAACTCAGCTGACAAATTTATGAAAGGCTAATTTTTCTTACTTTGTTGTTTGCAACCCTGAGTTTGAGTCTCACTGTTCATTAAGTACTACCTATTCAATCCAAAAAAAGTCATAGCATTTTTGCTGGCTAAAATTCACCTGAACCCTGGTTATTTGATCTTGGGATACAAGGAGTGGGGTTGTGGCTTCCCAAAAATTCTGATGAAGAGAGGGTCTTCATATACAGGAGCTACCGGTCAAATCCCACCCAACAAAGCCCCCCCGCCAACTCCTTAAAAAATGAACAGACCCCTACTGGGTTACAGGAGCTGTGAGTTGGCCTTGGATCATGAAAAGTTATAAGCTATAAAGAAAAAACTAAGGCGGTGAAACAAATTAACATGCAGCATTTATCCTTCCAGGCTGGGTTGTTTAAAGCTGGGTTAAGATAACCCAAGGTTAGTACGAAATATGAATTCAGATATGAAAGTTTTAAAAACAAATTCATTTGAATTCCTTTTGTCTACAATTTGGTGATTTGATACTTAAAAAAAAGGGAAAATTATCTAACAAAATGCTTTTGATTAAAAGGAAAAAGAAACGCAGGTTAAAATCTAACACTGGGTTAGTGCTAATCGGTCTTTGGAACAACTGGGCCCCGGTCTTTTTTTAGGTCCAATTCTAAATCACATAACCACTTCGAAGTGAGCCAATGGTACATAACCTGGGCATGTGTTACATTCCCCTTCTGTCATTTGATAATAGTAAAGCCTAGGGTCGCACAATGGGCAGGGATCTCCAATTACTAAAACTAAAAATTCAAAATGACACAGTAACTGTTGTATACAGTTACAGAGGGCCCACACTACCTCCCCTTTACATTAAGTAAATACACTACAACAAATCTACTGGACAAAGGTCCAGTAGTCAGATCATTTACTGTATTTTTTTCTACATCATAATATTATTATTAAAAAGCTAACAATAACAAGGCCACCCACAGTACCTTAAATTTGGTAAAAAAAAAAAAAAAAAAAGGTTCTGTGCATTTCAAAGTCAGGGTTGAGATTATTCACTTGTACACAATTTCCTCATGGCCATTTATTCAAGAAACTTCACATCAAAACTGACAATTTTGTTCTTACCGCTATTTGTTCTAGTTTTCACTGACTATACCTAGAGATGACCACATCTTGATGGTAAGCCTCCTAAAAATGACCACATTTTGAAAGCCCAACAGCCAATACCACAACAAATGGTGAAATTGCTTTGTATTTCATATCATTTGTGAATAGAAACTCAGCACAGACATGAATGAATAATTTCTTTGCTGCTCTTTACAACCCTGATTTTGAGTTCAATATGATTTGTCTTTTTAAACTGCTCAAACAGACTGGTGAGATTTATATCAGCCTTCACTCAACAACAATAACATCAGGTGCATTTCTTCACTTAAACCTAAACTTCTTAGACCAACGGGGTTTACACCATCAATATCATTATACTCTTTTACTAAATGAGCCGAATTTTAATAGATTTATTTAGAAAAGGAATTCACCCAGTAAGATGACTTTTTGATTTTCCTTTTTAAATAGGAATATGATATTTTATAATTGCTGGACAAAAAAAAAGGTTCCACCTAAAAATTTGTTTTGAGCAGTGACAGTAAATCTCAACTTTGGATCTGTCTGAAGGCATTTTCTTTGCCCTTCCACAAAATCACTTTCTACTTTCACTTTGCCAGAAACTTTTGCCATGACTTAGTAACGCCAAGTGAAAACATAATATCTGAGGCATATTTCTTAAGCTATATGTCAGTGCTAGTGAGCAGTCATGGACTGCTGTTTTGAAGGGGCATCCGATAGCAAGATAGCCTTTCCAAAATCAATGAGCATTGGGTGGTACATATTGTTTACCTCTGTAAGAATAATGTTGTCACTCTTTATATCTCTGTGGGGAAACCTCTATGAGTGTAAATGTTCTATAGCTTCACACAATTTCAGTACATTATGTTCCCGCAGAACACTGTGAAAGGGACATGGATTTCCTTAGCAGGGCACCGCACAAAGAACAAGAAAAATAATATTGTAAAGATGGTAAAAATATAACCCAAGGAAGTACATGTGAGGTTTCTGTTTTGTGACATTTACCCCAAACAGATGGGGTATTGATGGATGGGAGCATTCAGTATATAAGCTTCAATTCTGTCATCTTGTGCAGAGGAAAAAATGATTACTGTAAATAAATTGAGACCCACTGGAATACCCCTGTAGCATTCTTCATGCACAGACCACAAACAGCTTCCCCATGCTGAACCTGTATTTCATTGACCTCTTTATCTTTTGGAGAGTTCAGGTGATGCAACTCAATTTCAAGAACATTGGAAATAACTCCTGTACCACTCAAGGAAGAATCTGAAACAAATACACAAAAAAGTCACTAAACCCACTAAAAATAACTGTTAACTCTACCTTTATTGATAATATTGTGAAATTAAATGAATTATGTTACTTGTGTTGCCATTATCTTTATGAACATTATAAATACACATGTGGCACATTTTAGCATTTTTGACCTTTTGACTCAGCTTACATGTACAGCTGTATCATTATAAACTATTATAAACAAAACAATCTTGTATATGAAAACATGACAAAACAAAACAGAAAAAAATGACAGTAACGCATATAAAATAAAGGCTCCACCCTACCCCTGTCAAAATCAATGGTATATGTACAGGTATTACGCTCAATATGTCAATATAGCGCCAGAGGTAGTATAAATTACTCAAGCAATTAATCTTGAGCTACTTCTGCCAAATACCAATAAATTAGCATTTTAACATTGCATAACTACATATTTTGCTGACTTAACACCACTTAAATTTTTCAACAAGGCTTTTTTCAGCTGGATCACTACAATACGCACGCGACACGCGTGCTCATACATGCTACAAATGTAAATATGGATGCAAATGTAGTTTATTCCCGGTTATAACATAGATGTGGCAGTAGAAGCACGATATACAAGGCAAAATACATCGACTTTACCTTTTAAATTTCGAATATCCTTGAGAAGAAATCCAGCAACATAGGCAATCTCTTCTCCCGCGAAATCGCCAAAAGACCGCGCGCCCGATTTCCCAAGCATTTGCGCCTCAGTGGTGCTGGTCAGCGAGAGTCTGCATAACCGTTCGAGAACGAGGCACAACAATTGAAATTCGTCGACCGTTAACACGTTCCACTGCCATCGATTTGCCATCAGCTTTTACTTCGTACGTTTAACGCCATATTTATCAAGAGGTTTCGAATTTTCCTTCTTTGTGGGGTTGACTGTCGAGTATGGAGGAATCGGCCAGTCTTATTTGTTCGAATTTATCGAACGAATGTGTCCTCGAAGAACTTATAAAAATAATCGCTCGAACTCGAGGGAACTGCATACTTATAATAGATCCTTCGACGAAAATCCACCATGAAAGGCATCTAGATAGCTCCATCGGCGACGATCAAGAGTAACGAGTGGATCCAAGAAAGCAGCCGTTAGTACTTAGTAAATAGACTTCGGTGAATCGATGCTGTTTTAATTAGCAGACATTGTAAAACTAAGAAGAGGCAGGAGAAATGTTGAGGACAAACAAATGCTGAGGGAGCAACTAATCGGGAGTAAAAGAAATGCTCAGTAAGTATAAGAAAGTTCGTTGTTACTGTTAAGCCATTAATGATGCTATTTGATAATACCTACTGGCTACATTTGCATTCCAATATTCAGTAATCAACAAGGACCACCCCTTCTCCTGAAACTTTATTTGTCCTGTTGTTGTAAAAAATACTGTAATCTTTTGTTTGGTTGTTCTCTTCAGATAAATGGTCTTGGAAAATTTAATAAGAATTGAAGCAAGTGTTAATTCCCCTCTATTAGGCCAAAATTAACCTTATCCTCTAGTGCCTACTTTCTCCAAAGGCTTTTCCAAAATTTAAAAGGGGAGTAAAGGTAGTGACTGCCATGGTGCTGAAAACATAGTGTAGCTATATAGAATTTAGATCATGGTACCCTGCTTTCACTGATTGTTTTTTATGATCACCCCATGTAAGGGATTCTGGAATCCGGGAAATTTTTGCTTATGGAATCCAGAATTCGGGCAATTTTTGTTGCGGAATCCTAAATTCTGAGCTTTGAAACCTGAAATACAAGTCAAACGATTGGAATCCAGAAACCAAGCAATCCACTGAAAAAGGTTCCGGAATCCGCAGCGTGGAATCCAGAATCTAAAACTGTCTTGGATTCCCTCATATGAGGCAATTATAGTATAATTAAACTTTTGTTCCCAAGATACACTGTAAGTGATGGCAATATTGCAGAAGAAGCAGGTTCATGAAGTTTTAAGTAATATGTCAATAATGTTGTTATGGTAGTGATGTAGTGGGACACTCACTATAAAATTAATACATTGATTTACCTGGAGTCAATTGTCTTGTTACAAAAGGGTTTCTCGCATTCATTTTTTCGTTTTGTTTTTGCTCAAAGAAGGTCTTAGTTTTAATAGGTACAGTGTAATCAGGATTATGATGACCGCTTGGGGTTAGATTTGAGACATGAAAGTTACGAGCCAGCAATTTGTTTAAACTAGTTAATTTTGATATCAGTTAACTCAGGAAATAAGTAAGTTTAGTCACCTAGTGTGACTGCAGCCAGTAATAATACATGTAATATCTAATAGCTGTGTCAGGAACTGTTATGTTAATCTTGTTGTTTTTCCGGACAGTAATTAATTCGCTGCGATTCAAGGTTGTTGAACCTTCAGTACTGTTTTGGGCCAGCGGTTTTTGCCATTTACACCCATCATCCCTTGCGCGGATGGAAGGACCATGTGCTTTTGTAAGATGGCGTCGTTGTGTTATGGCGCCTGTATTTTCGTCCGAGATTTTCGTTAAGGTTTATCTTAGTTTACAAAGGACGGTGTCGATGTTCAGAACGGCAGAGAACGAACAACAACGTATGTATGAACAATGTGAAATTTAGTTTCTCTTGCTACTTGCATTTTCAATGTTGTTGACTTCGCATCATTATAAGGCGCATTTTGTAGTTTTGTCACCCAGGTTTTACCTACTACTAGTTCTCTACGAATAAAATGGAGTTGAAACGTCTGTTGTGTGTGGATCGATACCGTTACAGTAAAACGTTGTTGTAAAGGAGCCTGAAAGTTGCCAGCCAACGAAAGGATATCGTCGTGTTGTCCGAATTGTCAGCCAATTCATTCGTGTACTGTGTGAGTTCCCGCATTACAACCGAAATCTTTCAAGTTGCCAGCCAACTCGTCTTTAATTCTGTGTTTCGCATTTTGTGGGTTACGCTCAACTTCTATCGAGTCGCCAGTCAACTTGACTCATTCCTGTGTTTTTGGATTTTGTGAATTACATTGGACGTGTTTCGAGTTGCCAGCCAATTCATTCCTGTGTTTTGGATTTTGTGAATTACATTGGACGTGTTTCGAGTTGCCAGCCAATTCGTTCCTGTGTTTTGGATTTTGTGAATTACATTGGACGTGTTTCAAGTTGCCAGCCAATTCATTCCTCTGTGTTTTGACTTCTGCGGATTGCATTCGTGTTCCAAGTTTCCTTAAATTTATTCCTGTGTGCATTGGATTTTCTTGCTTGTATTTTCACGCATTTTGTCTTGGGAGGCAATTTATTCTTGTGGACAAGATTGTGTCTGAACGTGTCAAGTTCCTAGACATTTTATTCTGGTATATTAGTAAGTACATTGTCTCGTGAATGAAGTGTTAAGTTATGAGTGCTGTAGAGGAGAAAAAGCAGGAAAGAACTAAGGCCAAGCAGCAAGTTACTACAGCCTCGCGTAGACTAACTAGAGCGGTTGATAGGGGTGTAGACATTGATATTTTAACAGTGTTGATGGTTGAATTGGAGAAAGCGTTTGATGATTTTTGTATAATAGATGAGGAGTATGAAATTTTGGTTTCAGATGAAGAACATGCCGAGCACGAGATTGTCAATGGACTTGACTTGACTGCCTACAGGGCAAATGTTAGTGAGGTATATACTGGGGCCAGGAATGCCTTTGTACAGGCAAAAGCAGCGAAGACAACAAGTGTTGCTCAACTTGATTTAGTACCCCCATCAGCTAATCCTCCCACCCAAGATGGAAATACTACACCATCAGAACAAGGACCAGTTCAAACAGCAGCAAGCTCAAGTCTTAGTCAAACGCCTGTAGGTGGAACTGTGTCTAGTGTGTCATCCCAGAATGACAGTGTCGCAGCATCAGTAAGCAATGTTCAAGCAACTGACTTCCATGGAGGGGCAGGACCCTTTATTCCTTCTCAGCCACCCTTTCATCAACCCACAGCAACTCATGTTTATCCTGGACACACAATGAATGTCTTTCCTTATCAGCCTGTCAGTTATGCCATGCCAACCCAGGCAAATAATCTTCTTACTGGACTGGGTCCCATCAGCCATACAGGCTACAGTATGCCTCCAAGTCAGCACTACTTTGTACCAATGCCCTCATTTCAACAGTCAATCGGAGGACAGCCTTATCCTGCACAGCAAGTGAATACTTCACCACACCACCTAAGCAACAGTGAGGTAGCAGATCAAAGCGAGGGAGCAGTTGCAACCGGTGTCCATTTAAAAAAGATGACCCTCCCGATTTTTTCAGGACAGCGAAAGGACTGGCCAGAGTTTAAAACAGTCTGGAAGCAGTTGGCAGAGGGGGCATACAAAAACAAGACAGCCCTGGCTCACGAACTAAAGAGATCGGTGAAAGGTGAAGCTAGTCAAAGGATCAAGTCAGTGTATGTCACCAAACCAGAAGCTTATGATACAATGTGGAAGAAGTTGGAAGATTACTATGATGATACCAGTGCCACTGTTCAAGCAGCACTAGAGGATTTACATAAGCTCAAGCCAGTCTCAGAAACCGATTACAGAGGTCTTGTTGAATTTGTTGATGTTGTAGAGTCTTCGTATAGTCAACTTGAAGAGTTAGACCAACTTAACACTCTCACAATGAGAGACGTAGACTATGTTAATGCACTCCTACCAAACCATCTAAGAATAGAATGGATTCGCAAGTATCATGACATGAGTCAAATAGAGAAGCTCCAGCCTTTCAAACCCTTTATGAAGTTTTTGGAACGAGAGAGAGAAGCAGTAGCTCGGTTAGCTGAATACCAACCAAGGCGGAGAAGAACATTTGAAGTACTGAAGAATGGTGATCGTGGTAAAGGGCTGACACATCATGGAACAGGAACTAGTCAGGGCCAAAAACAGTTTTACCAGTGCGCTTTCCACAAGAGAGATACGGTTAAGCACAAAACAAGTGATTGTAAAGAATTTCAGAAACTCCCCATCAGTGGAGAGGGTGGCAAGTTTGAACTCCTCAAACAAGTGAATACCTGCTTTGTCTGCTTTGGAAATCACCCACAGCAGAAGTGTCCCAGCAAAAAACCATGTCCATTGTGTGGAAGTGAGAAGCACCACTTTCTCCTGTGCAAGTCAGGGAAAAAGAAAGAAGGTTCAAACACTACCGGTCAGGATCAGACTGTATCAGCACCTCGAAAGGAAGAAGATCGACAAACTGACCATTGTGCTCATGCTGAATCGGCAAGTCATGCTACAAGAGGAGCTGGCCTTGCTCTCTATCCCATCCAGCAGGCAAAGGTGTGTGAGAGTGGGAAGAATGTTACCATATTCTGTGATGGTGGCTCAAACACAACCTACATAACCCACCAAGCAGCAGATAGAATCAAGGCCAAAAAACTGAACAGAATCACGCTTGACGTAACCACAATGGGAAATGTTGAGAAGACTTACAACACCCGACAGTATCAGTTCACTTTGAGAACGAACACTGGCAAGAAAGTCGGTATCACTGCATTTGGTATGGATAGAATTACTGGCCCTGTCAGCAAGCTGGACACTAAAGTCTTAGCCAATTTGTTCCCTGGCTATGATGTTGACTCGCTACAGAGGAAAACTGAAAAAGTAGACATTCTCCTGGGCTGCGACTACTTTGGGTTGTTCCCCAAGTGTGAGGAGGCGAAGTGTGGAGATAATTTAAGCATCATGAAAGGAGACTTTGGAGTCTGTCTTCAAGGTACCCATCCTGATCTAAGAGAAGGAACTGAGCACGATTCAAATCTTGTGAAAACGATACACAACTCAGTGATCAAGCATGAGGCTCACTATGTATGCCATGTTACTCACCCCGAGTTTCAGCCAAATTGTTCTAACCCTGGAAAGCTGGTCGACGTCAGCAAAAAGTACGCTAGTCTCAGACAGACGAATGTTGCAGAATCCCTCGCGGGTAAAAATCAGGGACGCCTTATAGAAAACTTCATTTGTGGTGAAGAAATTGGAACTGAAATAACTCCGCGCTGTGGTAGTTGTCGTTGTGGCAAATGTCCAACTGTTGGCCACACCTATTCGTTCAAAGAGGAACAGGAGTTAAAATTAATTCAAGGGAACCTTGAGTATGACGGTGTTAAACAGTGTTGGGTAACTAGTTATCCGTGGCTTGTGGACCCAGGAACTTTACCCAACAACTACAGTAGCGCCTTGGCTACGCTCAAGAGTACCGAGCGAACACTCAGCAAGGACGAGCGGTGGGCTGAGACTTACCAGAAGCAGATGGAGGACATGGTGGAACGAGGTGTTGCACGGAAGTTGTCTCAGAAAGAATTACAAGAATGGAGTGGTCCTAAGTTTTACATCTCCCACCTGGCAGTAGTCAACACACGGTCACACTCCACACCTGTGCGAATCGTATTTAATTCCAGCCAAGTGTGCCAAGGAATGTCTCTTAATTCCTGTTTAGCCAAGGGACCGGACTGTTACATGAACAATCTAATTGGCATATTGCTGCGCTGGAGGGAGGAGCAGGTTGCCCTTGTGGGAGACATTCGTAAAATGTTCCACTCTATCCACTTGAAGCCCTTGGAGCAACATTGTCATCGGTTCCTGTGGCGTGATTTGGAAACTGACCAAGAACCCGACGTGTATGTGATGACACGAGTCAATATGGGCGACACTCCAGCCCCGGCTATTAGCACTGAAGCTATGTACAAGACTGCAGATATGTTTGAAACTGACAGTCCAAAGGCTGCCAACCTCCTGAAGAGATCTAGCTATGTAGATGATTTAATTGACTCTCAACCGAGTACAGCTGAAGCATTGAAAATTGCTCGTGAAACGGAAGATATGCTTGCGAAGGGAGGCTTTGCAGTCAAGTGTTGGCAGTTTACTGGAGAATCAAGTCCTCGCACCGGCGAAGTGTTGTCTGAGAACGTTGACACACTTGTCGCACCTGATGGCGCTGTATGCACGCACCCAAACGTGTTGAAAGGAACTGATAGCAGCCTGAGGGTATTGGGCCTTGGCTGGAATCCAGTGGAAGACACCGTGGTGTTCGAAGTCACTCTCAACTTCAGCAAGAAGAAGAAAGGAACACACACAGGCCCATGCCTCAAGAAAGCTGATTTGCCACAAGGCCTACCACTTGTGTTGACAAGAAGAATTGTTCTGTCGCAGGTTATGATGATCTTTGATCCTCTTGGATTTGTGTGCCCCTACACTCTGCTGGGAAAGATTCACCTGCGGGAAACGTGGTCCCTAAAGCTTGGATGGGATGATCCGCTGCCAATCCATCTGCGCTCAAAGTGGGTTCACTTCTTCTGTTCCCTGTTCCAGCTCGAGCAGCTTAGATTGGGTCGTTGTTTGCGACCACCCGACTCTGTTGGCCGACCATGGCTTATCATCTTCAGTGATGGTAGTGACCTTGCCTATGGTTTTGCAGCCTACATCAGATGGCGCCTAAACAGCGGTGATTATTGGTGTCGACTTATCATGGCAAGTGTCGTATCGCCCCAGTGAATAAGTTGTCCACTCCTCAGATGGAGCTAAATGCTGCTGTGTTGTCCAAGCGAGGTAGAAAGGTTATAGAAAAGGAGATGAGGCTCGAATTTGAAGAGGTGTGGCAAATTGTGGACTCTGAAACTGTCTTGAGTATGATCAACAAGACCAGTACTCGCTTCAAGGTGTATGAAGGAGTTAGAATTGGAGAAATTCAAGCCGCAACGAATGGTGATATGTCCTGTTGGGCCTGGATGTCAGGTTATCACAACCCAGCAGATTGGTTGACCCGTGGACGCACCCCTGAGGAGCTCAATCAGGACTCCCATTGGTGGAATGGCCCACCTATCCTGTACAAACCTGTCGAAGAGTGGGGACTCAAGTCTGGTCTGCAGAAGGAAGAAGCACTCCCTGGAGAGAAGAAGATGTGTAGTACGGCGGTAGCCAGGACAGATCCTCCATTGATCGTCTACGAGAGATTTAGAAACATCAATCGAGTCATTTGGGTCGTGGCAAGGTTGAAAAACATTGCAAGGAACAAAACTTTCAGTGCAGGAAATGCCATGCAAGTAACCGCACAGCACTTGAAAGACGCAGAGGACTTTGTTGTGAAGAACATTCAGAAAACAATGGAATGCGAGCTAAAGAAGAGCAGCAGCAAGAAAGGTCATGGAGGTCGCTATGCTAAGCTGAAGCCTGTACAATACGCAAGTGGAATATGGGTTGTTGGAGAACGACTAACTAGGTACAATGCGATGACACCAGACTCATCCCTTCAGAGATTGTTACCCTCTAAGCATCCAGCTACTCGTCTTTTCATGGAACGTGCGCATCAAGCAGGAGGACATAGGGGACGTGACGCAACCCTTGCTCGATTTCGAATGCGTTACTGGACGCCTCAAGGTAGTAAACTGGCAAGGTTAGTGAAAATGGACTGTCAACTGTGTAAGTTGCGTGATGCTAAATTTCTTGAGCAACCGATGGGGTTACTGCCAGAAGTTAGACTGAAACCTGCACCAGCATTCAACCACGTGATGCTTGACTTGTTTGGACCGTACACGGTTAGAGGGGAAGTCCAGAAACGCACAAGTGGCAAAGCATATGGTGTATTGTTCACCGATCTCGCAATGAGAGCTGTTCATATTGAGGCAGTGTTTGGATACGACACCAGCAATTTCCTGATGGCACTCAGCAGATTCGCCAGTCTTCGTGGATGGCCAGAGAAGATTTACAGCGATCCAGGTTCTCAGCTTGTGGGCGCGGAGAGGGAACTCAAGGAAGCCTGGCAAAGAATCGACAGGGAGTCCTTACAGAGAGATTCTGCTCAGAATGGTTTAACCTGGGTATTTGGACCTGCCGATAGTCCCTGGCATCAAGGAGCAGTGGAGTCTCTGATAAAAGCCGCCAAACGTGCTATTCATTTCTCAGTGAGTAACCAACGTCTGTCTGTACCTGAATTTCTCACTGTCTGTTGTGAAGTGTCCAACTTACTAAATGAGCGTCCAATTGGAGTGAAACCAAGCGTTGATTCAACCATCAATGTTCTCACACCCAACAGTTTGTTGCTTGGACGGGCCACTGCATCTAACCCCTTAGGATGGCAACCTTACGACGCAAGCATTGTAACACGTTACCATCTTGTTCAGTCTGTGGTGGAGGACTTCTGGAAACGTTGGACCGAGCTGTATGCTCCAGCATTAGTAGTACAGCGCAAATGGCACACTGCCACTCGCAACTTGTGTCCAGGAGATGTGGTGATCGTCGCTGACAAGAACACTCTTAGGGGAGATTATCGCTTGGCGCTTGTGCAAGATGTGTTTCCAGGGGAAGATGGCAAAGTGCGCAAGGTGACAGTCAAGTACAAGAGCTATCGCACTGGGGAAAAAGTTCACGAGTACCGGGGTGCAAGAGACACTGTCGTTTCAAGGGCAGTTCAGCGCCTAGCCCTAGTTGTTCCAGTGGATTAGAGTCTTAAGACAAAATCAAGAATGCAAATAACATTAAGGATATTGAGTACAAACGTTTATCTGGAGACATTTTGTGATTTGTTCCATGTTACAAGTTGTATCGCAGCGACCCCCACCCTCCCGGTGTGTCAGGAACTGTTATGTTAATCTGGTTGTTTTTCCGGACAGTAATTAATTCGCTGCGATTCAAGGTTGTTGAACCTTCAGTACTGTTTTGGGCCAGCGGTTTTTTCCATTCACACCCATCATCCCTTGCGCGGATGGAAGGACCATGTGCTTTTGTAAGATGGCGTCGTTGTGTTATGGCGCCTGTATTTTCGTCCGAGATTTTCGTTAAGGTTTATCTTAGTTTACAAAGGACGGTGTCGATGTTCAGAACGGCAGAGAACGAACAACAACGTATGTATGAACAATGTGAAATTTAATTTCTCTTGCTACTTGCATTTTCAATGTTGTTGACTTCGCATCATTACAAGGCGCATTTTGTAATTTTGTCACCCAGGTTTTACCTACTACTAGTTCTCTACGAATAAAATGGAGTTGAAACGTCTGTTGTGTGTGGATCGATACCGTTACAATAGCAACCTTTTCTGCTATAAAAGGCTAGAATATTTAGACAGAAAAGGACAATAGTATTTTTCATGACAAGCATCTACAGCTTTAGTTTCAATATTAATGGTCTCAATTATGTATAATTTCTGTTTGTTGCAGAAAAAGCTGAAGAGACAACCCTTTTCCAGTCAACCTCTATTTCGAAGAAGGATTGTTGTAAGTTCAAAGCTTGTATAATTGTGGAGTACATGTCTTCAGAGCAAGGCAATACAGACCAAGGAGATGACAAATCCGAGAAAAGTGCTTTGCAGGAGGCCTCTAGCATGGAGGAGTCAACAACTTAGCCTGTAAAAACCTCTTTGCCAAGCTGAACAGTAAAGCAAAATTAAAACAGTGACATGTAAGCTTGTCATTACTCAATGACAATAGAAAGGACGAATGGCTTCTCCTCAGAGCAGGAGGCACCAGATAATGCTCCTGAATTTGCTTTGTGATAAGGAAATATAAGTTAATCCAAGGCTCTTAAAGAAATTCCAGATTATTTATGACTGGTCATACTTACAGGTACATGTACATGTAGCTCTGCAAATACAGTAATCCTTTAATCACTCTCTGTTTATGACACTGTTTTTTAGAAAAAGATAAATCTGTGTAAACAGTGCAAATCCTGATGGTGTTGATTTGTCCTGAGAATTCTGGTGGCAGGTAGATCAAATTGGTTGATGTGATAAATTTTTCATTAGAATCCTTTGGCTATTGTTTGCAAGTAATGTACCAGTCAGCAGGTTAAAAAGGCCAATTAATGTACAAATGTTTCTTTTAAATCTGTTTGCTTAACTTCAAGCATTTGAGTTCTGCTGGCACCACTTCACAGTACATTTGTACCGATTACAGCAATTGCAACTGACCTGCTTGAACAAAAAAACAAAACAAATTTAGGTACACCCTGCTTTTTGTCATGATTTGTTACGGAATTTTGCAAAGGATTGCAACATGACTCAAGAAAAAGAGTAATGATCGAGAGACAGCAGTGTAGTTATTTTGCAGGCTAGCCAGATCAACCTTTTGTACTACATGTACATGTATACTGAGTTTAAAATAATTGTTAGCTTCTTTCATTGGGACCAACTACAGTGACAATGGTAATGTTGACATGCTGTGGAATACTTATAGCTGGTCATTACTTTCATGACCCTCAATTTTCTTAGAACGGGGCAAGTACTAGAAGCTCCGGCTGGTACTTCCTCTAAGAGCATATCCAATACTATACAGGAACCATTAGCAACGAAAATGAAGTTAAAGCAGTCTGATCTGAATTTGAATAGCTGTATGTACCTAAACTATTTCTTAGTTTGCTAAATGCTATAACCCAGTTGTTATACCAGCAAAAATTGTAAATTGGTAGCAAGAATTAGGCCTTTCATTCTGATAGACCCTAAAGAAAAAAATGCCACCAGAATCAAATTTTGTTTAATCTGTAAATAGCAATAAATACAAAAATACTAATTATTTATTAAAATGGTGTCTTGAGGGTTCCATTTAGTTGAAACAGGATTTGGTCCTTAGATACAAAAGTTTAAGTAAGAAATAGTCTTGTCATAAGTAAATTAATAATTGGTCCAAGGGTGAAAGGATTTTTAACCTGTTTCTGAGTTGCAAAAACCTAAAGAACTGAAACAGGTTTGAGGCAACTCTGAAACACCTACAGCTGTATGTAGAATATCTTACACATTTAGATGAAGAACACTTTTCTTATAATATTAATAGTTAGTAATGATCTGATAGAGCATAGAGTGGAGACAAGTAAACATCAACGAACAGTAAAATTGGGAATTAATATGAAGAGCTGTATGTACAGCTTTATACTGTAGTTTGTAATGTCTGTAATAATGTGTAAGCCACTTTGGTTTATGGAATAAATCATTTAAACATTAATGGAAGGTCACTGCTAGAATTTCTTTCAGTAACTTTAATGTTTGATTAATTATGGCCACTTGTTAAGAACCTGAAGTGAGCCATATTATAATTAAAAATATTTTTAAAATTTTATCGCATTTGCTACAACCCAAGCAAACTCGTTTAAACCTTGGAATTTACATTTGCTACTGGAGAAAACGTGCTCAATTTTATGGGTTTGATGACATTTGCTAACCAAATTAAAGTCAGAATTTGATTACATTTGCTACCTGAGCGAAAAATTGTACAATACTAACAGTTTGATCGGATTTGCCGCCCAAGCAACTTTGTTCAAAACTTGACTTTTGACCACATTTGCCGCTACAAGCAAAATTTTGTGTTTGATCAAATTTGCACACCCTAGAAAATTTGTTCAAAGTTTAGGTTTGCTAACATTTGCTTCGTGAGCAAACATGTTTAATACAAAGAGTTTGGTTACATTTGCCATGCAAAGCAATCTGGTTCAATTATGAAAATTTGATCACCCATGATAACCCAAGCAAACATTGTTCAAATTAGATACTTCGCTCACATTTGCAAAGCTGCGTAAACGTTCTGACAATAACTGGTTTACATGCTTTTACATCTAAAGCAAAAGCTGTGCAAAACAGCAGATTTGCGCTATCATTTGCGTAATGTGCAAATATAGTTCAAAGAAACATATTTGCCTACACATTTGAACCATCTGCAAATGACCCTCAAATCCATGGCTGCCCTTATCTTTGCACCAAGATGTAAATGTTGTGCAAATGTGGCATTTACCGTCATTGCTACGGATAGCAAATCTAGTGCAATATCAGTCTTTGCTCTTGCGCAAAATTGTGCAAATGTGGTATTTGCTACACATTTGCTGTAATTTGGCTACCCTAGTAAATCCATTTTTTCGTCCAGTGTTTGCGTGCACTATCTCTTACGTTTACGGCCCCGTTTTTGTTCATGTCTGTTTGATAGAAGTATGCCTGTGCTTGAATCTGCGTTGGTTTGTACCAGGGGTATCCAAACGTGAGTGTTTCGTATACCTGATTTTCATATTGTGTTTGCGTCAACACATGTACGTTGTGTGCTCTACATTGCGCTCAAGGTTTTTTAAACAATATCTGGGAATGACCAAAAAATTTAACTTATCCTTTTATTTTCAGTCTTTTTTGTTTTTTGTTTTAGGCCAAAACCTATTAACTTCTGCACTCTTTGCCCCTTGTAAGGGAATTTGGATTCCGGAATCCAGGAAATTTTTTCTTCTGGAATCCGTAATCAGGGAAACTTTGCTTATGGAATCCGGAATCCTGGGCTTTGGAATCCGGAATACAGCTCAAGATTCCGAATCACACTAACGATTGAAATCCAGAATCCAAGTTCCACTGACAGAGACTGGAATCCAGTACCTGCAAACCGGATTCCACGGCTTGGAATCCAGAATCCAAGACTGTCTTGGATATCCTTACGTGGGGCAGGCTGCAACAGCGTTTAATGTTTTGAGGGAAAAAAAGGACAAGAAGAGAAGAGAAACTAAAATTAAAGAAAAGGAAAGAGAAAAGAGAAAAAGGTATACGTACCTGATGAGAAAGAATGCAGTAATTATCACCAGCATTAGAATAGCTCCCACAAGACCAGCCACGATCCATATTAAATTGGACTTGGAAGGATCAGGTTTTTGATCTGCATAGAGGTTCAATGCGTCCAGAGAAAGTGAAAGGAAAACATCGATTAGTGCTTATTCGTTCAGAACTATAAGTGAAGCTTTTTACCTTCAGGAGGACTACGCAAGTTGTTGATGTGTGCCGAAAAGTTTCCATCAATCTGGTAAAAAATTTTATTATTTTGAGCCATATGTAAAGTACGGTCGAACCTTTCCTTCTAAAGCGTGGTTTCCATTTGATCAGGAACACGACTGACAATCGGTGAAATGCTTCACGTCATACACGCCACATAATGCTAGACGAGATGTTCGCGAAAATTGAGTTTGACACACATGGCATACCTTTTACACTAAAATAATTGTGCGCGTTTGCCTGTAGTGCCTGGAATCGTCTGAATATCGACGACACATACCGCTTCCGGCCGCGTCACAGACTGTCGCAAATCATTATAGATTGTACATTACAGTTATTTTTTTGATACTGTATTCATACCAAAAATAAGCTCGTTGTTTTGCCTCCAAAGACACCCTAACAGGTACGATTTGACGGTAATGAGGGCACTTAACTCTGGTCAATGTTGGTCTAGTGTTCCGGGGGAGATGTACTCCTTATAATGACTTATACGGGAGGGTTCCGCCTGAAAGGGGTATCTTTTTCAGGCTTCCGGTATATGAAAGGGTAGAAGTTTCCGACTAGTTGAAGTATTATGAAAGGGTAAGGAAATCTGTCATTGTAGTCTTCGAAAGCACCTAGTTAAAAGGAATTCAGTGTTCTAAACTTAAGTATGTAAAAAGGGTACCATTGTTCAATAAAAAGTATACGAAAAGGGTACCTTTTCTGTCCAAAATGGTTTATAAAAGGGTAAGAGGATGGACCTTAGGGCAGAGCCTCCCCGTATAAAACTTTGTTTGGGTACCTCCCCCCCCTCCCGGGGGGGAATGCTAGACAAAATATATATAAGTGATAATAAGGCACATGTACGTTTGTTACCTTCAGATGTTTCAATATTGGGCTGGTGGTGCACTGTTATCTCCTCACTCATTCGTCCTGGTAACGAGTTATGGGCTTGTACCTGGGTGTAAAGGGTAAAGTAAGATACCTAACAATTCTTGGTTTGCAACCACGTGAAACGACGGCCATGTTGGGGGTCAATACAATAGAATTTTGTCTCGAAGAATTTTCATGAAAATAGAGTTTAGATCCCAGGGGTTGTTCTTGGCCGCCAACATGGCCGTCGTGACGTCACGTGCAAACCAGCAGTGGTGCTGGTGAGGCTTAATTAAAGGGCCTTTCTCACTTTGTTTTCCACTCTAGGCGTTTTGAATTTTTGTCCTACGGTCTTATTTTCAAAGTTAGCTTCGGTGAGCAAATCTCGATGCCAGTTAGATCATGTAAGGTGATCAAAGGCATGGTTGGAGTCTGGAATCCACGCGGTAGACTCCGGATTTCAGGTACTGGAGTGAATTTCAGATTCCTTGTCAGTGGAACTTGGGTTCTGGTTTACAATGGTTAGCGGAATTCCGGATTCCAATGCCCATGATTGCTGATTTTACTGGCAAAAGATTCCGAGATTTCGGAATCCGGATTATCTTCGATTGGGCGAACCATCGTGAGACAAACGATAAACAAATCCTTTTTAACAGAAAACAACGAAAGCCTTTGATTTTGAAAGTTTTTCATGACCTTTCATTATAATAATATATCTTTTCCAAACCTTTATCTCGTATACCATCTGGACATCAGTAAGAGAAACTTCATATGTTTGATATTCTTTTCCTAAATCGGAGTGTGAAGTGTAGGTTTTAGTAGCGCCATCACCGTCTGTAAAATGGATTTCGTATTTTTTGATAATTCCATTAGTTTCTTCAGGTTTCCTCCATTGCAGAATCAACCGAGTTCCTTCCTTTAGCTTGACTGATAATTCGCGAGGAGGCGAGGGAGCTAAAAGGGATACATACAAAATAGGTAAGACCAGTTTTCAAGTATTGACAAAACCTCCTGAATTTTGTCTCGTCGATCCCAAAAAATAGAAAACGACTCTTGTAAAAAGCGAGGGGGTGAGAAAAATGACTGCCACATCTTAAATTTACGCTTAAAGACGCTGTGTCACGGTTGTAAAGTTCATTTTGTTAATAATGCCAGCTATGCGTCGTTGTTGGCAAAATCACAGCTTCGTCTCAGACAGTTACCATATTTCGAGTAACAACTATTTGCCGTCTGCCCACTTTGAATTGAAATGTACCTCCCAAGTATTATATCAAACCATATCAAACAAAAAGCGAACGTACCATAGTTGTAACGGCATGATGGGTAATCGGGACAAGATGGTGGAAAAATTAAAAGTTTGTATGGAAATACAAAGTCAACTAAATATTACTGATTGAATATATTTGTCACTTTGAATAATGTAACAAATGAACTTAAAGAAACTACACACTAAATCTTGAGTGCATAGCAGTCCTTTGTTGCTTTTAACGAAAACCTGAGTTCTTCCGTACATTTTCGGTAATCCTACAATACAAAATAAATTACACATGATGTATGTAAGAAGTCAAATTTTCTAAAAAGCAACAAAGGACTTCTGTGGTCTCCTCAAAAATGTGCAGGTAAAAACGCAATTCAAAATGTTGGTTTTGATATTCTTGGCGCCAAAATGTGAATGTCAGTCAAATCAATTTTTTTGTTTGCTTATTGTCAAATTCATGGGACCTATGTCCCACAGGAGGTCACCCAAGACTCTTTTCATAGGACTCAACCCATGCGCATAACTTGCTCGGCTACCCAAGATGGCGTCCGCCTGCTGGTTGTTAATTTTCAAAACTTCTGCATCCGTTGTCAAACAATGAATTATGCTCTTTCTAAATGCAAATAAAGTTAACGTATTTGCCATTTACTTGCTTTTTTTGTATTGTGTGTCTTAACCAAATTTAAAGTAGAAAGAAGAAGCATATTTTCTGCATTTTCTTCTAAAATGAGCATAATTTACAAGAACTAGCATAATTATTGGCACAATTTTAGAAATATATTAGCAATGCTCATGGCATTTTATGTAACTTTTACGAGCAAAATTTATCAAAGCCTAGTATAAGGGGTGAAACAGTTCGCATAATTTTGTGGAACTTCAACATACCATCTTCTGGCATCATGACATTCACAGCAGCAGAAAACTCGCTCCAGTTATCCTGTCCAACTTCCTCCCGCACCATAAAAGAATACATGTTAAAAGGCTTCAGTCCACCAGCCAGGGCTTCCCTGCGGTATGGAGAGCCCGCATTCACAATCTTATGACCATCTGCGTTGGAGTCAGCGGGGTTACCCACATGCAGCCACTTTACCATGTAACGCGTCACGGTGCTAGTTGAGGCCGGATTACTACGCCATGTTATGCGCACGCTCCTTGGGGTCACTGTAAACACCTTCACTCTGTGAGGGCTGTCTGGAACTGGGATGTAATTAAGAAATGGTTTTATGAAATGAAAGTAATCAAATTTACCGTTGATGACTTTTCGGAGGTGTATATAATATTTTACTAAGTGTTGTGGACTTGTTGATCTTTTCAAGTTCGAGTTTTATGCAATGTGAGATGTTTCTCTCCTTGCCAACACCTCCCGCAGCACCCCAATTGAAACCTCCAAAATCAATTTATCGCTAAGAAAAGAAGAAGATGATAAGGAAGAATAAGAAAAAGAAACTTACAGTGTCCGGTGCAAAGCTTCTACGGCCTCGGTATAGGGTATTGTATGTTAGTGTTGTATTCTGAAAGATATCCTAATTAATTACAACTTTCTTAAACATACCGGCTTGAGGCGTGGAGACAAACTCTTTCTCGCTAGAAGGTCCAGCACCTTTTGCCGTAAAGCCTGCGATCCAAACACGATACCTGGTCATCGGCTTCAAGTGGTGCAACGTTGCGTGTGTGACAGATGCATTTACCGTGATCATCTTCTTTAATACCGGAAAGCGGGAGCTGTCTTCCTTGTAATGCACTTGATAGCCTTGCAGTATTCCTTTTACGTGTTGCTGTGGAATGGGTTCCCATCGTATGAACACCGATTCAGAGGTTTTAGCTGAGATGTTACGAATTCGTGGAGGTCGAGATGGTGCTAGTAGGAAGACGAACAAAGTAGTTTCAGATGCATGATAGTCGATTTAAAAAAGTTCATTTTCCAGGTTACTGCGTTGGTCACATTGAAGTCGGAAAAGTTCAAACTGAGTTGAAAAACTCCGTTCTTCCGATCCTACAAAATGGCCATTTGGATAGAGCCTCATGTAAACCTGGGGTTCACATTATCTTTCTCTCTTTGCCCCACTGCACGTGCAATGACTGATTTCCAAAAATACCATTGATAGAAATCTATAGCGTATAATTATTCCGTCCTCTTTTGTTACAACGGCACGTAAATTTTAAAAGGAATTCCTTCCGTCTCACTTCTCTCGTTGACAAGTTTCTGAATGTATTAAAAAGACAAAGGTGCTCACAACTGCGTTTGCACCGTGACGCAAACAAGCTGAGTAGAGGAGCCAATACCCACAAGCTGCTGCTGCAGTACCCAAATTTCTGGCGAAAGGACGCAAGAGCTATTTGTGTAGAAAAGATAATGCAAAAGTAGGTTTACATGAATCACTATCCAAACGACAACTTAAAGAATACAATATTTAATATTTTCCGCAGTGGCCTATTGTTTTGTGAAAAGTCACGTGATGTACTTACCATCTTCATCGGTAACTACGGTGACAGGAGTACTTGATGGTCCGCTGCCCGCATCAGTGAACGCAGCAACCCAAACATCATAGCTGGTGAAGGGTTCCAAGCCTGTTATTTCCAAATTCTGACTCGACTTGTTAACAGACATGGCCTTTATTACCCCCACAAGACTTGTCGAACGTTTAACTTTGGGCTTTCCCGTTTTGTAGTAAACGTGATAGCCTCGTAGAATACCGTGTACGTACTGCTGGGGGACCGGGCTCCACTCTATTAAGATACTTCGAGGTCCAGTGCTTTGCACCTGGATTGATACTGGGGCGCGGCTAGGGACTAAGACCAACAATACAGTGTTATTTTTGTCGGGAGTAGTCGGAGAAAACATCTGACATTCTGGGACGATATCACTGGTTTCGCCGCGAAATTACGTCCGAGGAAGGAGCGCAGAACTTCCATACTGACGATGCGTCACTGTTCATATCTGGGATCCGGGTAGTGTCTCCCATTGGTCGTGCCGAGAGGGAAATTTGATTCAACGAATCATAAGCACCACCCAGATCTGGTTAGTGAGACCTCATCAGTGTTGATTTTCTGCGTTCGTTCCTCAGACATCTTCCCGAGGTTACTGGTTACCCACTCCCGCAATTCACTCACATGTCAGTATTTATGTGCATCTTTCATAACTCTGTTGCTTACCCTGTTAACATATTTTTTAATTTGACTGTTCCATTTTATTTCCTTTACTTACTTGAACTCTAGAGCCTTATTTTTTATCGCGACAAGTGATTAGGGAAAAAGCAAAAACAAAAAAGATGGCAAACATAAAAAAAACCAAACAAACAAAAACAAAAAACAAAAAACAAAACGAAAACAAAACCAACCGACAAAACAGCAAACTGACAAAAACTATAACCATAGTATTATGGGTCATGGTATATGAGGATGCAACTAACCGTCCTCGAGCGTGACAATAGTAATGGGTTCACTGGTCCTCCCCGATCCTGCTTCAGTCATTGCAGACACTGTTATCGTGTATGTAGAAAACTTGACAAGACCCGTCAGATGAACAGTGGATTGTTTAGGTCCAAGTTCGTTAGTGTACACCTTCCCTGATGTGTCACGGTATATTAGGCGATAGCCTGTTACAGGATTGTCAATATCAGGAATGTAAACTGGATCCCAGCTTACTCTCAAGCAGGTAGAACAGGAACTGAATACTTTGACGTTCTGCGGAGCTTTTAAGACTGTAGAGAAAAATAAAGAGGTTTAACAAATAACCTGTCGTAAGTGCAAGTGTTTAAAGCTAGTGACTTATTAAGCCGTACATTACAGTGACTAAGACCTAACAATGAATATTCAGTAGTAGTTCGACACGTTCATACACTATTTACAGGTAGCCATTACGACATCTAAAGGAGGAACGTAAGGTTACCCCTATATTCAGGTATCTCCTTACAGATAACCCACCTATCCCAGGAAAGGTTGGCCACACTACCGGCGTTTACGTCCCCTACTCTTTTCGAACAGTGGTGTGGGTTCTTTTCCATCCTACTAGAACCTGATACGTGAGAGTGCTGTGAAACAAGACCTACGGTTTTTTGTCCTTAACCGAGAAGACTAGAAAGTCTTACCGTGTGCTTATGTCATTACAAAGGTAGCACTGTCTTCTCAGTTATTTCGGTAAAGAACCTGAGTGTCGGTCCGACCGAAGTTTGAACCCGCGACCCACCGCTTAGCAGACCGAAGGTCTCCCAACTGAGCTAATCAAGCAGCGGTTAGTTTGATTATTTCTCCCCCATTCTCTACTTGCTCTAATACTTTCTTTCTGTACACACAAATCGCTTACTCTCCAACTATAATAATTTCAACAAATTAATAGTTTATCCTCGTTGTAATCTTAATACCACCAATCATTAACTTCAAAATTAGAGATTTTAAACAACACTCACCGATGTTTGGTCTCCCCCTATTTTCCAACAAAGACCTAAGTTTTACCGGAATAGCGCCCTTTCAAGTCAGTTAGGTATAATGCTGTTGTTTAATGTTGATAGAGAGATGTTATCTGCCGATTTGATGTTCGCAGAAAAAGTAGACACGTGACTCTGACAAAGTGATACAAAAGTTCAGCATTAAATTGACGAGAAATATCAAAATCATTCCTCCTTACCATACTTTGTAGTAACATTATAAGTATGGCTAAGAGCGCCATTCCTAATGTGGCCCCTGACTTTAGTAAGCCCTGCCAGGCGTATCCCATATGTGGTGTTTTCCTGGAGACCTGTAATGACCACGCTGAGAGTTGACTGGTTTACTTGAATCACAAGATTGTCAGGAGACGCCCGCGGCCACTGCCAGTAGATGACGTAGTAACCACGCAAGATTCCGTTAACGTGCTTTTGAGGTATTGGGGCCCAAGAAAATTTGATTGCAGTGATGTTGGATGAAAAAGACAATAATTTCGGTGCTGCTGACGGAACTGAAAGACAAAGAAAATCGGAAACTGAAATGCACCATCACTTCTTAGTATCAAAAACAAAAGGTTCATCCCTCAGTCAGTCAGTTGGTCAGTCTGTCCGTCCGTCAGATAGTCGGTCAGTTTTTCAGTCAGTGAGTCAGTCAGTCTGTTAGTCAGTCACTAGTCAGTCAGTCAGTCAATCAGTCAGTCTGTCTGTCTGTCAGTCACAAGTCAGTCAGTCAGTCTGTCCGTAGGTCAGTCAGTCACTCTGTCAGTAGTCAGTCAATAATTAAAGTCAGCCTGTTTGTCTGGCCTCAGCCAGTAGGAAGTAAGGTTACTTTTTACTTCAGGAGACACTCCTTGTAGACTTCTTAGAGCTTTCCTTTGATTTTCTTAATTGTTTACCAGAGATTTTTTGTTAGCTTCCATTAACTTCGTTTAAAACATAATTCAACAACCACTATTGCAACCTCGTCCTCAAGGCGTTTCCCATATCCACTATTGTTAACGTGGGCAAGATTCGCGATAAATTTAGCCCGTCGAAGAGTTGGGACAACTGCTCGTTGTCTTTCCTCGGCTAAGTTTTGAATCTAAAAACTTTGTTGACAAAAATTTTACGACAATTTCACTCACCGTGCTCATCAGTCCACACCAATAGAGGTTTACTCGTTGGACCTTCGCCCTTGGTAGTGTAAGCCAGGACTGTGATCCAGTAAGGTGTATATGTTTTCAAGCCCCCAATTTCCATCCCCAGGGCATAAACAGCTATGCAGTACAACACACTCTCATTGATATCGGCACGTTTATAGCAGACTTTGTAACCAACCACCAGGCCGTTACGGTAGCGATTGGGAACTTGCGACCAAAACACCATAATGCTGAAGGAACTGGTGTTGTATGCTGTCACACTGTCTGGCGGGGCTGTGGGTACTATTACAAAATAGATGGCGATTAGTTCAGTTAAAAGTTTTAATTAGTAAAAAAATACGCGTGATTTTACTTTTCCCTTGTATCTCAACAGGTTCTTAACTAAGATGTTTCTAAATCAAATTTTGCAACTCTCCAATGATAAAAATGGCACATGAAATTAAATAAAGTTTGGCGGAAAGAGACTGTGGAAATTACGGGCAAAGACTGAAAAGTTTGACTCTTAATTCATAGTCGTAGCGTCTTCTCCTGGTGAGACGAACCATGCACACCCATAAAATTAAAGTTTCTTTTGACGACCAAGCAAATTATTTGATGGTTTTGCCCCCTTTGGTAAAACATAGACCCTTTTAAAGGAAGAGAGTTACGCTTTTGACCTGACGCTACCGGATAATGAGCGGTGTATGACATTTGCAGACTGCAGACTGCATGAGGCAGCAAGACTGTAAATTGAATGACACCAAAAATATCGTAATAAAGGTGGCGTCATCATCAACATTACCTTGTTCCGAGAAGTACATGTAAGGCCTAGAAGCGAAGTTTACATTTTTCACGCAAATTACACCGACCTCATTCCTGAAGGAGTTGTTGGCTGTTCTTCTCGTATTGAATTGGAGCAGAATAATGTCTGCCGATGTCACAAACTCGCCCATAAATCCACAGCAATTTAGCCTACACCACAGATGAAACTAAACTCTGGTTATATAAGTCTGCGAAACAGGGCCGGAATCCTTACTCTACGGGGTCCCTACCTGTGTACTAGGATTTGAGTATGAGCAATGATTGGCCTGTTAAAAAAGCCATTGTCAAGTTGCCTATTTAGAAATTCAAAATGAACTTTCGGCAATTCGTAGGATCTGTTCGGTTTAGATTATTTTGCTGAAATACGTCATTTAAAAGATGTTAAATGTCCGTGATCTATCATAGTTGTTTGTGTCAATGTAACTGTAGTGAGGACGAAGTGTTCGCAATCTAAAAACTTTTTTTTTTACAGAAGACTACTATTTAGACAGGCATTAGTGGGTATTACTACTTGTCATTATCAATTTCAAAGAAGAAAAAAGAATCATCACAATTAGTGATATGCCGGGTGAGTTAATAAAAAGAATAGCCAACAGCAACTTGGAAATGAGGCCAATGTAACTTTGCGCAAAAATATCAACCTTGTTCCCAGGCTACTTTCTCACTTTCACACGATGTTATATTTTTGATGGTGTCACCTTTATTAGGAAGAGTTTTAGTGTCTTTTAATTTACAATCTGCAATCTGCGGTCTCCAGTCGGCAGTCTGCAGTCTGCAAATGTCATATACCGGATAACGAGACATGTTCGGAGCTTGCCAGAAATCTGATCATTCATTGCGGGCGTAATCCCTTCTATATGGCCTCCATGTTTGCACATGAGGTGAGATGAGGTGCACATGCCCACGATTTAATATTTTTGGGCTTTGCCCCTTTTGTAAAGAATAATAATGATTTGTCTTGTTAACACTTAGCCTGTCCATAGACGTGTTCGTCTTTTCTTTCTTTGTTTACTTGTTTCAGGATATTTGAACATGCAAGAACGACAGTGGCATTTACCCACCCAACCCCACTGCGCTGGCAGTTAATGAATCTCAGGCAGTTCATACTTGCGCCGAACGATCTTCAAAGAAAAAAATATACGGTCTGAGAATAGACCAATTAACGCTGTTTTTTGTCATAACCGTTCATATTCTTACCTCCCTCCGGGGTCCAGATACTTGTGAATTTGGTAAATGCACCCCATTTGTCATCCACAGTACCTTTTCTTACTCGAAAGAGATACTGAGTGTAAACTCGGAGATTCTTTAGTGTGATAGTTCCAGTTGAACCGGGAAGCAACATAGACGATTCGTTGTCGCCTATTTTCCACCTTAGCTCAAACACTGTATTGTTTGAAGAAGATTTAACTTCCCAGGAGAGTTTGATCGACGTATCACCAGTTACATACCCAACAAGATAACTAGGTGGATCAAGCTCTGAAAGGAAAGAAAAATTAGTTGTGAGAATTACAGAAGATGTTAATAATATTGAATACAGCCGACATCTCGTTTCTAACCCGCGAAAGTTAGACGCGTGCTACCCAGGCTAAATTAAGACTTACTTTTTCTTAAAATGTAGTTATTTATTTTTATGTGAAAATGAAAAATGTCACAAATGGAAAGTTGTTCTTGCGCACGATTCGTAACATAAAAGTCACCAAAGCGTATATCCAGATTTGAAAGCAGTTTCAATTTTACGCCCTCTATAATTTGGGTCTTTTTTGGGGTGTTAGTATGGAAATGAGTTTATTGCCAAAAACATCGATTGTAGGTTTTGTTTAATATTGCCCCAAGCAAACGTTAACCATGATTATCATCCTTAACCACACAAGAACGAGAAAGGCTGACCAATCGTCATCAAGAAATTATGTCCTCGTGATTTTCAGGGAATAAGACATATTGAAATGCTATTTTGAAAAGAAAAGAAAGGGAATGCAAACGAAAGAAAAGAGAGAACGTTGAATGAATCAGGACAGTTGCGTGTATGTTACAGCGTTTTCTAAATAAAAGGATCTTGCGTGCTTCTGCGAAAAGTCCATGCAGTCCCATATTCATACCTGAACAAAACCTGGCAATATTTTTACACCTAAAAAGGTTTACAGAAGAGGCAAAGCAACGCTCGCGAAGGGAATAGAGGAGAATTAGAAAAACGGAATTTCTCTGTTTGTTAATTCCTTGTAGATTTGTGCCTTCATTCTCTTCAACTCAGTATCGTACAGATTGAAGTAACAACATGGAAACAATTACTTACTGATGTAAAGTTAAATGCTAAAAAGGTGCAGAGACAAGATTGCATTGAAAAGATTAAGACAAATTATAAAACACAATATTGAAAAAATTAGTCTTATCTGCTCTAAATGCTAGAAGGGAACCGAAAAAACGTTATTTTAACAAAGAGCAAAATATTGCTAACGAGGCGATAACAATGTATAGAGAGTAAAATGAATGACCATAATCTAATTATAACTAGAAAGACGTAACAGGGGTGAAAAACTGGCCTAGTTTAAGAAAGTTTATAAAACCTCCGACGTTGGTTTTGATGGGCTATACAGTTCTAAAGGTTATCGTCCCTGCACTGTAGCTTGGTGCCGTTCTCCTATAGTCATCTCTTGCACCTATACCGTATTTTTTTTTAAAAGCATAGTTTTCTATTTATGTCATGCTAGCAGAATCAGGACGGTCGAGGCACAAATGTGGCTTGCAGCTGTTTTGAGTGAAAACTAAAGCACTTTAAGTGATGAAAATGAAACCCATATCGTCTTTAAAAAGGTTCGAAATCACGCCAGGTCCACACTGTTAACCAAATTCAATCCCTCTTTGGACTTCTTCTTGGAGGGTTTTTAAAACAGTTTGGTGAAACGGGTCTCGGCGCCTGGCGAAAAGGGAAATTGTGTTGTTCGTCAGTAACCAAAAAAGAATTGCGAACGTGAATGTAGCCGCCTTAAGGAGTTAGGTAACCTGCGAATACAGTCGTTTGTCTTTACTCCTTGCAACTCGCGAAACGGCTGTATTCGCAGGCTAGAAGTTAGGAGGAAATCACCACACAAACGAACCAGTATTGAATCTGGTAGCATTTACTTAGTGTGCCCGCTAGGAAAGCATCATCATACCCGTTGGCAAGCCAGCCAGCGCGCAAGATTACGAAAGCGATATGGGTAGGATATGCGATTCTCTGGTAGGAGACGGCTGCATTAGTCGATTATGAGATGCACCGTACATGATGAGATGAGACACTGAAGTTACCTAGTCACCAATAATGACCCCCTACTAAAGTGCACGAGAGAATCAACTTCTCTTGTCACGACACTGCTTAAAGCAATGTCGTATTTGGTTCAGTATAATTCTTTAATCTGCCTTCGATCAGCCACTGAATTTAAAGCTCTAATTTCGAGAAAGGTTGTCGGAAAAAGTGCACGCGACAATCCCGAAAGCTTTAATTGTAGGTGGTTTTGAGTTAACTGTTCTTCGAAGAAATTTGAAAGAATGGCACGAGAGGCCATGGACGTATGATAGCGAGTGCTAAAGGAAAGCAACAAAAGTAGGTTCGAGAGCTACAAAGTCAGGCACAGTTTATTTGATCATATCCCACATTACCTTTCGGTATTGACGCGTGCACATTTTTCCGACGACCTATCTCGCAACGGCTGTATACAGCAAAGGACTTCCTCCTTCGTTTTGGCTTTCGCCAATATGAGTTAAAGATGGCAAAACAAGAACTCCAATATTACGCCCTATATTATATGTCATTGTTACAGGGAAAAAGAGCTTTAATTCGAGTTTGTTTTATCCATTTTGCACTTTCCGTACTAGCATGTTTTAAAAGCTTAAAGTGGATTACGTGTCGTGGAATAAGCTGTGCGCGCCACCTATAAGCCTTACGAACTCGGGCAAACTTGAAAATGCCATGATCAGAAATGCTCATGGGTTTGAAACAGTTAACTTCAGTTTACTCTCTTTTGGTTGAACAAACTGGGGCTTTATTTGACATTTTTTATGAACGCAGAATTTTCAAAGAAGGGAAGATCTGTGTATTGTCACTGATTCTTTAGGTTTCATTGTATATCTGTGAATTTCAAGGCGTGAGATTGCCAAGTGACCGGAAATTGATTACACACTTGGGTCTTCTGCCAAATTATCACTGCGACAAATTATTTCATTCATTTAGCCGGAAACCTCAAACTTGACAACATATAGCCAAAACAGATCTATTTTCATCGTTCAGCTAGTGTCCATTGAGGAGGCTTAGAGCCTGGAGGGTGGCTATAATTCAAGGACTACGACTGGAAATACGTTTATAAATTCAACAGTCCGAGTGAACGAAATACTGACGGGGTACCTAGGCCTGCTTTCCTCTGTAATGAAATTTTTCCTTTGTAAATAGAAGAGATGTCTAACATAAGAATTTTTGCTCGATACTATCAGGTTCAATTAATTCATTGCGCAAATGAAATACTTATTGGTGATCGGGACGATCAGACCAATCAGTCAGTCGGACACTGCTCCGCACTCGGACAGTAAGAGTGGTTTAGAGAGGGTTTCAAGGGGTGTAAACACTTTTGGAGTTTAAGTTTGGATCTTTCAGGCCAATAGAACAGATGTCCATACTTTGGTAGCATTTGTAAAGAGTAGGCTTGCCTTGGCGATTCGAGGCGGTAGTTTTCAAGCTTTCGTATTAGCAGTCGGATTGCTTGTTTAGGAAGGAGTGTTCTAAATAATCAGTGCCCTCTCCTAAGGTCGTATTGTGCAAACTGTCTTATTTTTGTTTGTTTTTTTCTTTTTTTTCTCAAATCAACAGTGGGTACAGCACATTTTGAGCTTTTGACCTTTCTTTCTTCATTAACCAATCGCCCAAAGGGGCTTGAAAACTGGGATTCTTATTTTAGAAATGCTGAAAAAGAAACATCACAGCAACAAAAAAAGGACAGTTCAACACAATTAAGTTGAATGACAACTTTCCGTCATCGAGGATTTTTTGCCGACACGAAAAAAAAAGACGAAAAAGAAATAACTTGAATATAAAAATATCGTAAAAGTGCCTCGATCGTCCATTGACTAGTTTACAAAATGACAAGCACATCTTACTGGCATAACTGTTGTTTGTTTAGAAAGCAAAACTTTGAAACAACTGGGAAACAATGGAAACAATTTGAAAGGAATGGTAAACAGAGATGATAGACTTAGGACCCACGATAAACACAGCCTGATAATGGGAAGTTTTTGATGAAACGCAAAAACAGCAAGATCAATAAATTGCCTGAAATTCCTGAGTGACAGTTTTGATCAGAGGATGTATGATCAAGAAACATGAGCATGTTATAAATATGTGATCTTGGCTGAATACAACCCGATTTATGTCTCTATAATATAATTATGATTGGTTTAACATTACTGTTGTAGCTGTTTGTAATAAATTCAAAAGGGACAAATTGTTCTATAAATGACTCATTGCCATCATCCAATACCAGTAGAGCGAGATAAGAACATACCAGAGCATAAACTCTTGCCATAATTACAGCAAGTTGGACGTTAATTAATTCTCCTGGAAAAGGCATTCTGATCTTATAATGCTGCGAGTATGTTAAATCATCACTTCAAAAGTTTAGCCGACAAATGATTTACCCATCGTTTTGCAGCGTTTCTTTAGAAGAGAAACTGAATTCAGCTGTTTGTGAGTTTCATATACAAAGTGTTGTAGCCTAACTCTAAAGTAAAGTTAACGTGTTCTCTTGAAAATGGCTGTTAGGAAGTTTTACTTAGTATAGAAACGTGATGAGTGTCGAGTCAACATGAGAGAAATAACGATGCGACTTTAGTGCAACAGTTCCATTAGATCACAAACTTATAAATATAAAGACTTCCTAAATTTGATACCAGTACAAGAAAAGGGTAGCAGCGAACAAAAAAAAAAGAGCTCAAAGAAATTAGAGACCAGATGTATTTTGATGGAAATAACGGCATACATGGATACTGGTTCAATACTCACCGTTTGAATCGGCCCTTGCAACCCACAGCACACCAAGCATAATGAAGGTACTAAACACCATTTTGAAGCGCTTATATTCAATGTTTTCCTTCGTTTTCTGTCCCGCGAATGCTTGTCACGTCCTCCTCATAAATGTTCCAAAAATATCATTTCACTGTGACCATTTAGCGACACCCAAGGAGAAATATGATTTGTGCCTGTGTTCAGGATTTAGAAGATTTCACGGCGTGTTCTGCTCAAGATCACCGTAATCAAAGTTGGATGTTAAGGTCAAGATTCATTCACGGATTAATTTCCCTCAGGCTTTTATAGTGGACGCAACATTAAGAGCTCTCGAGTCCGTTTGTAGCTGGTATATGATACTTGAAATATAATATCGCGTTTGTTATTGTCCGTTTATAACAAGTTGATCACCGCGGGAAATATCGCTGCTTGACGACTTCTGCCCTCAAATGCCTCAGCTGATGGTCAAATGAAACCGTGTGAAATGAAGCCTAAACATGTTGAAAAATCGTTTTCATGTAAACGCTGTGTTTATAAAAGCAACATCGAGATGAAAAGTGTGTTTGATTTCTGCTTTGTTTGGCCACTTAGTGTTTCAAGTTCGACATAATAATAATGTGAGCAATATCAAATATTTAAGCTTTGTTTTCCTGATCAGTCTTTCTCCGATACTGGATGCTGTAACTGAGAAATAAGGATTGATTTGTTTCCTGTATGGTTTTGCAACTTTTTTCGTTCTTGAGTTCCTATTAAAATCGTACGATGTACTGATGATTTTTTTTTAGATACAAGAGCCTATGGCGCCCTATAATTTTACCACGTCTAATTTACTGTACAGGTAGGCACAGGCAAAACACCTTGGTTGGCCATGATATTAAAACCCACAACTTGAATCTCTCTTTACTCTCCGGACACCTGGAGATCAATACAGGTCAGTTTGCATGCGTCTGAACGTACAATCTTGACTGAAAAAGTTTTTTTCTTTACATAAAACGATGTCGGAGCAAAACGTGCCAAACGTGGGTGTTCTAAGCTTGTAGCAGACATAATAAACTCACTCTTTTAGAAGCAAAAATCAATTACTGTCGGCTGGTCATGTTGAGGGTTTTTAAGTATTTTATCTAAGAAAAAAATCTCTGACCGAAGACACTGAACTATCCTTCATAATTATCTTTCTCGTCCCCGCGAAAATTAATTACTGTCCAACTTTATGTGAAAGGTCACTGAGCTCAGAACTGGGTGGACCCAAGAAGCTTCTTGGCGAAAATCTCAATTGTTGCAAGTTCAAGTTTAACTGCCGTCAAAAGTAAAAAGTTATGAGAAATCATCTTGACGGTGCCACCAAAGCCTCTTTATATTTGCTTCAGTGGACGTTGGCGTGATCATTGACGTGTGATTTGTGACTAATCCTGTTGGAGCAATTTAGCAGATTGGAACTTTATCTCGCAGTCCGTAAAAGGGCTCAGAGGAAATGACACGAGGCCGAATCTTCCTTATCAGCGAAGCTACCTTGAAATCTCAGAAATAACAAACTTCATGAACTGGCTCGTCACGAGAATTCAATTAGTGTCCTCTAATCATTGACACGCGCAGATATCCCAGATAAGAAGGTAAGGCGCGGCTTTGATAGTCCTTGATAGCCAAATTTATCTTGGTCAACAGCCCATCGATAACACAAATAGAATTCCGCAGATAAAAAGGTAGCTTTAATATCCTCGGAAGCTTGTTTGTTTTCATTTGGAACAACGTATGGCTGATCGATTGTGCGTTTACTTTGCGTTACGCCTTAAAAAGCTTCAAAACAAGCTCTCTTCTAAAAACCGCAACTAAATAGCATGCAAAATTCTAGTTTTTGTTTTTGGTGCCAAGCAAAGTTCTGTCATTTCGCTCGTAGAATAAAGTCCTCCTCTGGTCCTTACAGTTCCAAAATATATTGATCATTCAACAAGTATTAATACAGTGAATACACTCTGATGGGCCTGATGTAGAGCACTTTGTAAAAGAGTAGATTTCAAGACGTGTCACTGTCATAAATAATGAATAAAGCCGCAAGATGCATTTCAATCCTTTGTTTCCTGCTTGCTGTCACTGAAAACAGAGAAAAAAACTACCACACGGCAAGATCGGAGCGTCTAATCGTGAAAAACGAGTAGTGTTGAAACGTACTCACACTTGAATAATACCACCTTCAACTTTTTTTTGTAACTAAGAGAAAATTATTTCAATGCCTAGTATAAATAGATCCTCCTAGTGAAACATGTGTTGGTAGACTACGAGTAGTCCCCCATTTTTCCTCAGGGATCACAGCGAGCAAAACGCGAGCGCGCGTGAAAATCAACCCACGCGAGAAAAGGCGACACGCGGCGGGGAGAGAGAAAAATGAGGGACTACAGACAAAGCCCAAGCTTTTGACCCTTCACGGCCGACTGATTTTGGGGTGTGAAGTTCGTATCCCCTTCCAAATCAATTAAGCGCATCCAATGGGATTCCTTCCCTCATTGAGCTGTCATTGCTCTTGTCATCGGTAAACTGTGGGGGATATTTATTGCAAGCAAAAGAAAACCCAGATACTAATTTTCTTCACGGCTGTTTCGCGTGAAGAGCTTGATAGTGTAGGCAACACACGACTTTTACTCATGCCAAAATGCTGCTTGTTCCAATGAATTTTTTTTCTCTGACGGATAGATTATGCTCTGGAGGAAAACGTTTTGACTGAGCAAATGTGATTTTTGCCGCTTATTTCATACTGAGAGGTCGTGACCGCATATTAATTTTCTGCGGTTATTGTTTATGGTCGGCATGATTTGCCCACTAATGCAAGAGCATTTTATTTCACCTCTTTTGAAAAGTAAAGCTCTTCAATGCGGCTAAATAAGGGTTTGGGGTTGTTTAATTTCTCCGGCGATTGCCTCCTGGATCTGAATAATTTTAAGCGATTTTCTTTTTGGCCGTGAATGTGACGGTTTCCTGCAATGTTTTGTCACGCTGGGCCCAGCTCGTTAGCGTTTTTAGCAGGACGGATAGTGATATCCAAATCTCGAAGAATGGATTGCAGCTTAAACTAAAACTACATCAACTATGGAGAATTGCGATGTGACTCAGTGCTCATGAATTTTAACTGCCGCTTGTTTTTCTGGAGATAATGTGAGTCTTTGGACTGGAGTGCGTAGTTCCTCCCTTGGTGATAACTTTTGAATAAGCTTAACAGCCTTGCGACTGTTCCGTTATTCAATTCCCACTTTCTGATCACACAAGACCATGGTTTCGGTTCTCCACGCGAACCTCATCAGTTGCCGGGTTGGCTTTCTTCTTAGTTGCTTCTACAAGAGCAACTCTGACTAGTTATTTGTTCTTTGCTGTTATTAGTTCTGCTCTAGTTATTTGTTCTGTAAATTGAGATTATGTCGAGTGTTGATAGCGGCTGGCGCGTTTTTGACAGATGTTGACAGATTTCCATGGAAGAGCCAATCAGAGTTTTGCGTTGTGAGAGCAACGCATTAGTTCAAAAGCTTGGGCTTTGTCTGTAGTCCTCATTTTCTCTCTCTCCCGCCGCGTGTCGCCTTTTCTCGCGTGGGTTGATTTTCACGCGCGCTCGCGTTTTGCTCGCTCTACTATCCCTGAGGAAAAAATGGGGACTACTGTAGTCTAATGTGTTGGCCACTCTAGTATACTGACCTTTCAGTGAGTTTCACCACCTCCCAACTATGGTCTACACGCGTGTGTAAGAAATTACAAGGGCTGTGTCACGAAATTTTTTCAAAAATTCAAATATTGAGAAATGCCATCAGCTTAAGTGAAATGAAACGCAAAAATAAGCAAGAACAGAAGGTATGGTTAGCAACCTCGTCCCCAGGGCGCTTTTCCCCCTCCTCAGGAGCCGGGGGAACAGGGGGGAAAGCGTCGTGGGGACGAGGCTGTATGGATAGCACAGCAAATACAAAATATCGCACGGATGGGCAAACTCGGAGAAGATTAAAACGGTTTACAATTAGCCTGCGTAGCAGGCACTTGCCTTAGCAAAAACCGACCCGTCTTGGCAATATTAACAGACTTAACAAAATAATCTTAACAGCCGTCGAACAGTCCCTTTAACAGTGGTGAAGACAAGGAAAACAAAAAATAACCTCAAAACAAGGATTAACTCCGATTATTTCTCCAACCAATTTTATACACCCTTTAGAATAGTTAATTCCCTTACATACAGAGGTCATCAACCCAAATGAAGGGTGAATTAGTATTGTTTTTTGTAGTGAATAAACTATGGTTTCATTGAAAAGCGAAACATGAATATTTTGCACCCAGTAAATTTTCTATAGGATTTCTATAATTGCTTTGTTTCTGCTACTCCTTCCACTCTCGCTACTGCTACTGCAACTGTTAATGTCTGCTACTGCTTTTTGCTACTACTCCTGCTCTATTACTGATCTTGCTACTGTTCTTACTACTGCTACTGCTACCCTCTTGCTCTTGCTAATGCTACGGTTCTGCTATTGCTACTGCTCCGCTCCTGCTATTGCTTTTGCTACTGCTACAGCCCTTGCTGGGCGCTTCTGCTGCTCCTGGAAGTACTACTGCTGGTGATATTGCTTCTTCTGCTGCTACTGCCCCTGCTACTACAACTGATACTGCCGGTGCTCCTGCTAGTACTCCTGTACTTCTTGTGCTGCATGCTGCTGCTGCTGCCGCTGCCACTGCCGTTGCCACTTCTCCTGATCATCTTCTCTTTGCTACGTTCTGCCCAAAAGCCGTAACTTTCATCGCAATTGTTCGGTTCAGAACTTGATTTGTCACACACAATTGCAAATGGAAACCGAGTTTAATCTCCAGTATTAATTGAAGAATGAAGAAAAATATATATCCTTGACAATGATTATTCAAAGAATCTTTTTTATTGCTTCACAATAGTCATCTATCTCCATTCTGTTTATATGTGCGGATACATAATCGCTTGTGAAAGCTTCAACCATATACATGGATATATTGCTGGCCCTAGTTAGGAAGTGCGAGAAATTGTTGCAAATTCCGTAAACAACATAACGCCTATTGTCCTTTACGGTACTAAGAAAATTCATTTTATTATTTTGACGAATAAATAATTCTATTTTCTTTCCGATAACTATTAAATGTACTTACTTATTTTAAATTTTCTCTTAGGGACGGACCATTAGAAAACTTATGGGGGAGAGGAAGAATTTTTTGTCCGAATTTGTTTGGGGGCCATAGCATGAATATTTTTTAGGGTTAATTGGCGTGCAAGAATTTTTTTTCATTTAATTTTCCCTTGCGAATTTTTTTTTTTTGTACTTCGCCCCCCCCCCATAAGTTTTCCAATGGTCCGTCCCTTGCAAATATTAATAAATTATTGCTGTATAAAATTTAACTTCCATTCTTCAAACATGACCAATAATCTTTTCGATTAGTTAATCAATTTTCAATGGCAAGCATACTGCCGCCAAGCAGACTGAGTGAACTATTCGTCTTTCAAGTTTCACCGTTACGACTCAGTTACAAAATTATAATTATAGACGCCTTGGTAAGAATTATTAATAATTTGCGCAGCGGGCAGCGTTGTTTTTCACTTGCGGGTTGGGGGTTAAGATTTAACATAAAAAATCCAAAACCTAACAGCATTTTCAACCTTTACCGTGGTGGAGATCCACTCCACGAAAATTTAAGTAGTTAAGCTCAAAAATGATTAATTCAAATCACTATATGTTAGCCTCTTCTTCTCCTTTATGAATTCTGATTTGTCGCTCCTGCGTAGATGTTTAACGTCATTTTAAATTAAACTACAAGACTAAGCTGCGTTCACACTTGTAGTATAATCATATTTGTTTTAAAATTTAAACCTCCCTAACTTAGAGCGGCTGTGCAAAAACTCATCTTTGACTAGTTAAGGTGGGTGAAAGTCTCGTGAAGTGCGGACCTGTGTATAGGACCTGTGTCAAAAATGCAAGGACGAGAAAGAATAAGAATAAGCCGTTTGTAATCCAGAGGACTATCGCTTTGAGAAGTTCGCATATTCGCCAAAGGAATCCAAATATGCTTGGATTGTCTTGTAACACAACATGTATTGCTCCTAAAAGTGATAAACAATATCGATTATAAATAATGTTAACACTATGAAATAAAGCATGCTGTCACAGTCTTTCTCGATGCGCATATTTCCTCATATATGCATTCCCTTTTCCCTGTACAGTTTATTTTATGTTCCAGGCGCTCCGATAATAAAGCGCGGCGTTCAGATGGTGGAGAGAGAGAGTTAAATCGTACGCTGGGAAAACGACGGGAAAAAAAGGAGGGGAGACTTGTCTTCCCTCTTTTTTTGTTTTTTCCTCTTTAATTTTTCGCCCGCGCTCTACTATCTGAACGCCTGGAAAAGGTTAAACAGACCCCCGCTCCCCTCCCTCCCCCAAAAAAACAACAACAACACAAAACTACAGAAAGAAGTCTAGAGGGTTCGAAGATCGTACTTTTAAGCAGTTTATCTTACCACATTTGAAACAGCAAAGGGTCTTTTTACGCGAATCAGATTGACCGTCTGTAACACATCCACAGTTTGTTCGTTTTTGAGTTTTTCAATCGCGGACATTACGGTTGCTGCGACTCCACTGCGTCCAACACCGTCGCTGTAGAAAAAAAAAATAGAAAAAGGATTTGTTTAGTCCAAATATGGAAGCAATAGGATCTTTCCAGGTGGTAAGTCGGGTGATACAAATACGCCATGTCAGGTCCCAAGAAAAGCATTGGGACTGGGCAAACAAAGAGCTCATTTTACTAAAAACGGTAGGTTTTCTTGACCCAGTGCAACAACTGTCCGTGCTAAGAACTTCAAATCAGCAAGTTTGGAGCATGCACCAGTTGCCTCGCAAGCTGTCCTAGGAATGTATCCACTACAAACCCTCGCAAAGTTATCCTCTGATCATAAGCCTGTTTTAGACTGAGGTACTAACTTATAGGATCCTTCCAAATCCACTCAACCAAACGACATTCCGCTACTCAAGTTTATTACAATTCTTTGAGAAAAATAAACTGTTTTCAATTTATCTTATGAAACATGTTTTTGGTCAAACCATTCTAAAAGTGAAGGTAGAAAAGAGGGAGAAAGTTAGGACGAAGTAAGTTATAGTAAGTGTCTTTCCTAAATTGATGTTTCAGGAGAGAGCAGTTCGTCTTGGCTTTCTCAAGGAGGCCACGCCGATTTTAAGCTTTCTAGACTCCTCAGATAATAGTTATGGAGGAGCGTTACAAATTCTACTGACTGCCCTTTGGTAGATCTCCTCCCACCCAGTGAAACAAGATTAGTAAGGAGTCATGGTCGTTCCTGTGTACCGTTTTAAACGGTGTTTTATTAACAGGTGTCAATTTTGTCTAATTGTCAATTGTAATCTGGAACTACCCTCAGCCTCAAGTTGCTCCAAATGTTCTTAAACGTTGCCCCAAAATTCTTTAAAAGTTGCCCGACTTTTCTAAAAAATTGGTCAAAAGTTTTTCCTTAAAATCAAAATGACAGCCAGTGAAGTACAATAATGCAATTTAAAACTACTGCCCTCTCGGATCAAGATCTTCTGCCCCAAATGGCAAAAGTTGCCAGAAAGTTGCTCCAAATAGCAACAGTTGCCAAAAGGTGCCGAGCAATCTGTGGCTGAGGCTATTTGGAACGTTTTTTTGAATTAATAAAGAGCTTATTTATTTACTTATTTATATGCCCATGCCTCATTCAAATAAGTGTTGACCCTCGTACCTGCACTGAAAAACAATTGTTCCATTTCCTGTTTGTTGCTGAGACTTCTGCACGGCGGTCAATAAACGAAGTATTTCCTGGGGATCTGGGCAGGAGTTTGGGTCTGACCAGGCAGTGAACTGTAGGTGCTGAACCGTCGAATTTTTCTTGGGAGGCTAAAAAAACCGTCAAGTGAAAAGTTTTCGCTGAGATATATACCTGATTCAGTAAGGCTGCTTTGGGCATTGGGCAATTGCTCCCCGGGAAGCTATTGTTTGGCGGTTACCAGGAGCGGTTACTCAAACCAATCATTGCAATGATATGGGTATACAGCGTTTTCACATGGCGTCACGGCGGCTATGATGTTGTTCCAAACCAGTCCTGTGGGAATTGAACTCTTTTCTTGTGTAAACGCGTTCTTTTGTTCCAATAAAATTGCATAAATGCTGGTCACGTGAGTGAAAACGCTCTATATCCAATACCCCATGCCTAATCACCAATGACCAATTACCAAAGCAACCTTTATTGAATTAGGTATATAATGATACTCCCAGTGCAACTGCGCAACATTATCATAACATCGAAATCACCTAGAATGCTGCCTTCTATTGATCCTGTATAGTAACAACTGACTAGTGATGTGCAGATAATGAAAACAGATAACGTGCAGATGAGAGACTAAAAGAAATAAAGGTGCCTCAGGTATATAGCTTTCTAAGATTTGGGCGGGTTAGCGTATTTACACAGAAGTGACGTATTTTTGGTTTGCAACCACGTGACAAGGCGGCCATGTTGGGGGTCAAAACAAAAGAATATTTCCTCGAAGAATTAACATGAAAATAGAGTTTCGTTCCCAGAGGAGAGAAATGCTTTTGTTCTTGACCACCAACATGGCCGCCGTGACGTCACGTTTAAACCAGCAATACTTGTTTATACTGCTAAAACACTTAATTACGGACTCAAAGGAGCTGTGTCACGAAATTTATCAAAATTCAAACTGTGGGAACCGCTGCCAATTTGAGTGAAACATTAAAATAACCGTTCAAAATGTTAAAAGAGGGTATAAATGACAAAACAAATACAAAAGGAAACACAGACGGAAAAACTCAAAGAAGATTGAAACGAATAGCAATTGTAGTTTTTGAAAACTTGTTGGCTTAAGTTCTGTTCTTGTTGTTTCTAACAACTGCTTAATTAATGCTTGGGAGACCTACTTTGTTTGACAGATCAATTTAGGTTTCTGGGGGAAACTGCACACCTACCCTTCCCCCTATTCCAACGTTAACACTTACTTCTCACGTAGGGCAAAATGTTGGCTTAAGGGAGGGGTAGGTGGGCAGTTTCCCAGAAACCTAAACTAATGTCATTCATGGTAAGTTTCAAAACGAATAAGAATGCGTGACAGGCATTCTAAACAAAATGAACTAAACAACAGTGACAGATCCATTCTATGAATAAGTTAGAAAGGTAGATAGAAATACCTCGGTATTTGCTATACTGATCTTCCTGGTCGTGATTCCGTTCGCTGTAGATTCTGAAAGCATCTCTAAAGTGATGTTCCCATACCTAGTACTTCCTTTAGAAGGCCAGTATTGTGGGTAGACCTAAAAGTAGTTCATAAAATTCACGACAAAGGACATACATGTAAATGTAAAATTCGACCAAACTTGAATCTGAAATCATTACTAATCGTCGTCGTCGCCGTCTTTGTTATCGTTTTTGTTTGGTTGTTTTTCGCTGCTGTTTATTTGCAGGCAGGCTGGCGATGTGAAGGAACTTCTTCAAGATATCGAACGCAGCCTCGCATGGCCTTTTCCTGCCCCTTGTTACCGACAGGTTAGAAACTCTCGAGCTGATCTATCCTCCGATGAACGACTCGAGAAGCTGCTGATGGAAGCATTACTCTGACGAGCTTTTCGCTATACCGAGATAAACAGGTTTAATTCTGACCATGCAAACTACTAGTGGTGATACTGATTGCGAAAAGGGTAGCATTGCCACATAGTGATTACAGGTAAAATGATCTCCTCAGAAAAAAAAATGCTATACACCAACCTGGGATATTTTTTTCGAATTCAAGTCAAAGCTGAGAGAAGATATATTCACAGACTGACCTCTTTTCCTTCTTCCAGGCTGTTGAGCATCACCACCGTCCCAATATCATACTGTGATACCATGCGCCAAAAGTCATTAATGGTGTTGTCTAATGGAGCTTGAGTCAGAATGTACGCGTCACGTCGGATATAGTCCTATCGCACAAAAGAAAGAGTGAAAGATTGGGAAGTTCAAAGCGTAAATGGCAGGCGAGTCTTTGGAGAGGACGGTGCTTGGTGATTTCAAGCGTTCTTCAGCGTTATTGGGTTTTTGGGTAACGGCTAAGGATTCTGTCTGCATCAGTTAAAGGGAGGGGATGGGTAAATCACCCTACCTCCTTCCCTCAACAGCCTGGACCAAAACCTGTCTTGTTCCCCCCCCTCCCTTCACTCCACCTCCCTCTTCCTTCCCCGCGCGATGAAAAGTATGATGAATGATGACACACTTACTCAATCTTAGAATTTATTGCATACTCGAAAGCAATAATGAATTAAACTGCTGGGAATATTTGTTAATTTCAAAGAATAATAAGAATTTCAGGACGGATGGTTATAATTATTTTGAAAATAGAAATTCATTCAACAATGCTCGGAGAATTGTTGGAAATTCAGTCTACAGAGATCATTGATCCACTGCTACTGTATTTTACAACGACGATATTCTTCGTAAGTAACGCAATGGCAGCTAGAAAAATTGAGTCATTTGTTGGATGTTAAAGACTATCCCACCAAAATGCAATGATTATGTACTTACGTCAACAAATGAAGCGTTGATGTAATCTTTATCCGGTTCAGAAGACTTTAAAATCAGTCGACCATTATCCACTACGGAGGGAAAAAAATGGCCAACATAGCCCCAATTTAACTACTCATTGTAACTATTAAATATATAACAAGAATCATGCCTTATAATGAGTATTGGAAACGAACAGTTGAAATAGGCTCACATGGAAGGATATCCGGAAACCTGTTCTTCTTGATGTTGGCCGGTTGAAGCGCCACCGTTGACTCTTCTTCAGATCCTTCAAAATCACCGATTATCTGCAGACACTAAAAGGCGTAGTTACTTTTAAACAAAAGTGCCGTCTTGTAGTTTAAGTTCCTCTCCAAACGTTTCGGGCCTGATCCTTCATCAGTGGAGTTGCAAGTACTTTGCAAACTTTGCATGGTTTTGCATACGCCATTGAAGAAAAAATAAACACCAAAAAAAAAATTGTAGTGCGCGAGCGGCTCTGCCCGTGGCCTAGAGGATATGGAAGTCGGAGTTAAAGCCGCGTGGATGACTGGTGCCAAGCTGAAAAATAAGGCGCATCTTCAGGCGCTTCCGATGCGTTTTTCCAACGTACTTGTAACTCCACTGATGAAGGACCAAGCCCGAAACGTTTGGAGAGGAACTTACACCACAAGACGGTACTATTGTTCAGTATTTTTTGTTAAAGGGAACCTCCACTTCAACAAAAAGATAACTTTAAATCACAGGAAATAACTGTTACAGTCAAGTCAATCTAAAATATTTTTAAAGAAAGCGTTTGTATCCGAAAGAAATAACTTTTAGATTCGCCTATTTTTGTTTTTAAATTTTGCGGGCGTCGTCACCTTGAATAATTGTGAAGTGTTACGGTTGCCCTATTGTTATTAAACAAAAGCTCTTTGTGTCAGAACAATAGAGCAACCGCAACACGTCACAATTATTCAAGATGGCGGCGCCTGCGAAATTTGAAAGTGAAAATAAGCGATTTTAAAATTCACTTTTCCTGATATAAACACTTTTTTTAAGGACAAATTTCGAACAAATTTGTTTATCAACATAATTTTACTCGATTTAAACTTATTCTGTGGTAAGAGTGGAGGTTCCCTTTAAACATTCCCTCACTTAGTTCTGAAGTGCCACCCAGCTTATCGGAATTTTTTTCCCGTTTTTTGTTTGATCACACATTGTATTAAATATGTAGGCATCATAAGGACCTGTTTAGGTAGAGAAAAGTTGTCCCCTGAAAGAAGGTACAGGGCACCCTCCCAGCCGAGTCAACTTGAGCGGTTTTTTTATATGAGAATAAAATTGACTCCTTTGCCCGAACCAAAAGCTGGCAACAGAGCTTGCGCACGCTCTGATTTTCTCGCCTTGATCGGGTTGACCCGGTTGGATGAGCCAAAGTGTTTATAAGGAAAAGAAATGGCCTGGTAAGAAGGATGACTCTACCACCATAAAAGAGTGACCCAGCCAGGCGGGTCCCCCTTTTAGCCGAGCAAACACTTTGTTTCTCATGTAAACGGGTTCAACAAGTTTTGTAATGAAATGTGGGAAAAGCTGGCCCACCCAGGGTGGATCGGGTAGGAGAGTGACCTTTCTACCGGGGACACGTTTTCGCGTAGACTACGAGTAGTCCCTCGTTTGCTCTGAGGGATGAGGAGGAGGAGGAGGAGGAGGAGAAGGAGGAGGAGGAGGAGACAAGATATAGGACAGTGGTAAGTGGACAGAGAGGGTGCTCAATTACTGGGAACAGCAACGATCATCAGCAAAGTCTTAGATACCTGAGGCCACAGGCGGTGGCTTGATGTTTGCACAGGTATACTCCAGCAAACCATCCAGCTGAGTGTAATGAAGATGATGATAATGATAATAATAATGATAATGATAATTATCTCAACTTTAAGCTACTGATACCTTTAGTTCTTCAGCGTATCCTGTTTGCTTAGAAGTTTTATTAACTCTGGCGAGTTTGTTCATTCTTATCAGTAAGTCGTGAGAGGAAACCTCAGTATTCCCACAGACCAGAGCTACCATCACAGATTGGTGTAAAAACACATATTGCTCCTGAAAGAGAATAAAGTGGATTTATTAAACGTACAAGTGATATTGTAGTGTTGGGCGGCATCTCGTAGATTACGTAACATACTTAGCAAGTTAGCCCGGAGATAAATTAATCCAACAATGACATAATAAAAGAAGATTCAATTTACTGGATAGATGAATACCGTAAAATTCCGAAAATAAGCCCCTCCGTGTATAAGCCCCGCAAACTCGTAACGCAAAAAACCCTCCGTTAAATCGCCCCTCCAAATATAAGCCCCCCGAGGGCTTGTACTTGGAAATTGCCCTCAAATACAAAGTAAAACAAAGCAAAAACGGTAAATTCACTTCCAACTATAAGGCTAGCCCGATCGATTTTGAAACGCAAATTTCCCTCCGTAGATAAGCCCCTCCAAAAATAAGCTCCTCAAAAAGGGCCTTTGAAAAATATAAGCCCCAGGGCTTATTTTCGGAATTTTACGGTGACTTATTAAACACAAGCTTTCGATTCCATCGCGGTATCTTTTTCAAGTGATGGATTTGGTCATTTTGTCACGTGATTTATACTGTGAATCACGTGACAAAACGTCCCGATAGATCGCGGGGTGCTCGTAACAAGCTTCCCTGTTCAATATTGGAACCTGACAAAATATTTCGATGGCCTCCCTAACTCTTCTCTTGAACATGTCCTCCTCTCTCGCAAGGATGAAATCGAAAAATTGTGTTTAATAACTTATTCATCTTTCCTGTAAATCCAATCTTCGTTTATTGTATCATTATGACAGGATTTCTTTGCTAATAGTCCAATAGCATTTTTTGCTCCCTAACTCCCTGACATGCAAATCCATTTCCCCATATATATGAGGGGTGAGGGAAAGAGAAAACCCGCTTGTAGATATGTCACGAGGATATTGCTGATTTAGGTCAATTCTGAATTGGAGTCATCATCACTTAGTGCAATTGTTTATACTTAGCCATATACAAAATGCTCATGTCGAGTTATGAAGGCCATATTAAGGGGATACGGGCGCCGCTGATGACCCCAGCAAACTCAGAACTTGTTACAACGGCAACTGAAGAACGTGTTCTAGTCGAAAGGCGCTTTGAAAACCTGGCTAAGTGGCAATTGAATCCCCACGCCTATCCTTTTGTTTATCTCCGGGCAAATGGGCCATCAATGAATCCTTTGGGGTGATTACCTAGAGGGCGCGTTTCCCGTAATACAGGTCTTTTAACAAAACCAAAGGAAAGGGAGATGATGTTCTTAAATAAGGGTCAAGTTTCATTGCATTTCGTCCAGTGTTTAAGGTGGCTCCGTGATTAACACAAGAGCATTTAGCTGTGACAAATTTTCCGTCATAACTTTTTCGATTTTAACGCGATGGCTGCGAAACTTTGCAAAAAACAACAGATATCATTCGGCAATAATACGAAATATTCCGATTTCATTGATGGTAAATATTTCTTGAGAAATTAGCGCTTAAAAGGACCCTACTGTTCAAAGAAAATCGCGTCTAGTAAAAAATTTTGCTGATATTTTTTACTGAAATTTCTGGTATCGGCTTTAATTGATATAATAAATATGCTAGAGGAATTTCAGAAAAATCGTTGGAGCAGAAGTCCGTAACTAAAAGTCGCTCAAAATTCAGCTGTGAAATTGTTTTGGAATTTCAAAAATAAATTACTATCAGGAAGAAGGAGACACCAGTTTCAATTTTCGGGATAAGTAACTTCAGTGTGTTTCCTAATTCTGAAAACAGAAGCCGATTGCCTATCGTGCTATTCTTTGAAAGGTACTTTTTAGTTTTAGAAGCACTATAAATTGCTCCAAACTTTGCTCTGACATCGAATGACTTGTTCCTCGACATTTTTAAAATATCCCTTGGCAGTTTTGGTTCAAACTCCTGCTACATACATTTTGATGTACTGCAAAGCATCCTCAACGGCTTTTCCTGCTGTACGTTGTTTCCAATTCAGGAAAAAGGTATTGGGATTGTAAGCTACCTAGTGTCGAAGTTCAGATAGAACTGTCCAGTACCTTTGTTTATGACCAGAAAATGAGCACGAGCGGCAGCTCTGCGAGGAATTCGCACCTCAGCCAGGGGGGACGAGTGACAATGATGCCCATGTCTGTGAACCGATCTGTATAAACATGTATTGCACTGTGATGTTATTTGGTTCACAAGCATGGTCATCATTGTCGTTCGTCCCCCCTGGGTGAGGTGCGAATTCCACGCAAAACTGCCGCTCGTGCTCATTTTGTAGTCATAAAGAAAGGTGCTGGACAGTTCTTTCTGAGCTCTGATACGAGGTAGCGTCCAATCTCAATACTTTTTTCCTGAGTTGGAAGCAACGAACGGCAGTAAAAGTCGTTGAAAATGCATGGCAATACATCAAAATGTATGCAGCAGGAGTTTGAGCCAAAACTGCCAAGGGATATTTTAAAACTGTCGACGAACAAGTCATTCTACTTCAGAGCAAGGTTTGGAGCAATTTATAGTTCTTCTAAAACTAAAAAGTACCTTTCAAGGAATAGCACGATAGGCAATCGGCTTTTGTTTTAAGAATTAGCAAACGTTGAATTTACTTGTCCCGAAAATTGAAACTGGTGGTTCCTTCTACCTGATAGTAATTTATTTTTGAAATTCCAAAACAATTTCACAGCTGAATTTTGACCGACTTTTAGTTACGGACTTCTGCTCCAACGATTTTTCTGAAATTCCTGTGGCATATTTATTATATCAATTAAAGCCAATACCAGAAATTTCAGTAAAAAATATCAGCAAAATTTTTTACTAGACGCGATTTTCTTTGAACAGTAGGGTCCTTTTAAGCTCCTAAGGTCCAAATTTCTCATGAAATATTTACCATCAGTGAAATCGGAATATTTTGTGTTATTGCCGAATGATATCTGTTGTTCTTTGCCAAGTTTCGCAGCCATCGCGTTTAAAACCAAAAAGTTATGACGGAAAATTTGTCACAGTTAAATGCTCTTGTATTAATTACGGAGCCACCTTAAGGGGAAGAATTAGAGAATTGATAGGCCCAATAAATAAGCAGCTGCACTGACAGGTCCGAATTAAAATTAAAAACTACTGAATACCAAGGTAGCTTCAGAATAAATGGTGTTCGGACCTACAGCACCCTACCGAGAATCATTAGGCAAGTAGAGACCCTCAGTGAATTTACAATCAAGCTACATGTTGCCTTTGTAAGTTAATTAATTGTCTAGTTTTAATTTCATTGTTTTTGTGTTGTGTCAGGGCTCCATTTAAACTAGCTCTGCTAAATTGGATGCCCCTGGATAAATATTGATTGAAATAATAATAATAATAATAATAATGTGAGAGGATTGAACCCAGGAGTCATTTCAAAAGGTTGAGTTTGATTGTCCGGGTGAACGTAGTCCTGAATAGGACTGTTGTTGTTGACAGTGACTGACGTTTCGACAACCTGTGCGGTAGTCATCTTCAGAGTCAAAGTGAGTTGTATCACGTCAGTTGATGGTATTATACTCGGGTTATTGATCTGATTGGTCAATTATGTCGCGATGTTATTGGTCGTCTGTCAGTTAAGCCGTGATGTTATTGGCTATGAAGACTCGTAATCAGTGATTGGCGCGTTTCGATCCGTCTATTGTCGCAGTTAAACAGTCGTCTATTGTTAGTCAAATTGTCTAAATACTTAACTAACGTACTGAAACCGCTGACTGACGAATCTAGACACAAACTACAGTCTACTGAGAACTTTATTGACGCCATTAAGACAATACAGATACCGGACGACCACAAACTAGTGTCCTTTGACGTGAAATCGCCGTTCACCAGTATTCCACTTCAACTGGCTCTAGACTGTACTGAGAACGCTATTAAGAACTCCACTGTTGAACTACCACTACCTACAGACGACATTATGGACCTACTCAACCTCTGTTTGACTTCGACGTACTTTCAGTACAACGGCAAACACTACAAACAGTTACACGGTACAGCTATGGGCTCTCCAGTTTCTGTTGTTGTAGCAGAAATTGTCATGCAAAACATCGAGGAACAAGCCCTAGCTACCTACACGCGAACTGTACCTCTTTGGTTACGTTACGTTGACGACACATTCACCGCCGTACACAAAGACGGAATCGACGATTTTCACGAACACCTTAACAGACAGAACGCGGACATACAGTTCACCAAGGAGATCGAAGAAAATGGTAAGATACCTTTTCTAGACTGCTTGGTCACTCGCGACAACAACAAACTAAAAACGACTATTTACAGAAAACCGACACATACCGACCGATTACTAGACCAGTCTTCGTACAACCCGACCTCTCACAAGGCTACTACTATGCGGACTCTGACGAGACGAGCGCAACTAGTTTGCGACCCACCTGACAGCCTACAAGACGAGACTGATTATCTTAACAACGTTTTTAGTAAGAACAATTACAACACGGACTTTGTTAGACGGAACACTCACAGTAACACTGATTCCAACTCTCAGACCAACTCTGGCCCTGTTACGACAGCGACTATACCGTACATCAGAGGCACCTCTGAAACTATTGCACGTATATTACAACCTTACAATATACGTGTTGCGCACAAACCGATAACCACTTTACGGCGACTGCTTACTAATGTCAAGGACAAAGACAAACCGGAGGACAGACAGGGAGCAGTATACAAGATCAAATGTTGCGACTGCCAGGCTTCTTACATTGGGGAAACCGGCAGAAACCTAAGCACGCGACTGACCGAACACAAACGCGCGACGAGGAATGGTGACGTCAACAATCACATTGCTGAGCACCATTTAAAGACGAAACATCAAATTGACTGGGACTCTGCGACATGTATAACGTATTCTACAGACTACTATCAACCTCTTACTTTAGAAAGCTGGTTTACTAACTTAGAACAAACGCCACTGAATCGTAGTCAACAGTTACCAGCGCCGTACAAACGACTTATTGACGCGATCAAGCAAAACTAACTACGAGAGAACAACTGGAGAACTAACAATTTGACTAACAATAGACGACTGTTTAACTGCGACAATAGACGGATCGAAACACACCAATCACTGATTACGAGTCTTCATAGCCAATAACATCACGGCTTAACTGACAGACGACCAATAACATCGCGACATAATTGACCAATCAGATCAATAACCCGAGTATAATACCATCAACTGACGTGATACAACTCACTTTGACTCTGAAGATGACTACCGCACAGGTTGTCGAAACGTCAGTCACTGTCAACAACAACAGTCCTATTCAGGACTACGTTCACCCGGACGATCAAACTCAACCTTTTGAAATAATAATAATAATAATAATAATAATAATAAATCACTCAACTACAAAGAAGCCTGTGTCGCAAACGTAATCTAACTCCAGCAAGTTACCTCCTCGAATAAGCGCCGAAATCCGTTTTATGGCCCCGGACGGACGCAGTTAACGAATTACCGCAAGTGCCTTTTGAATTTCCCTTTATCCTGACTGGCTAATGTAATAATGTCTATTTTAACAGGCCAACCATCCTGGTACACAACTGGGGGCCCTGAACAAGGATTTCGGCGCTGGCTCGCAGACGAACTTACAAATTAAGCTAAAACAAAAAACATTTGCTTACGTCCTTTTGAACCATATGGGGGCGTTGTCTTCTCATAACTTGCACGTAATTATAAATAAACAAGCTGTTCTGTTTCTTCGCGCTCTCCAACATGGCGTCAATACCGATGAAAGTTCCCGTTCGGCCAACTCCAGCACTGGAGAAATAATAACAGCGTTGATCAAGAAGATGACACTTGACAGAAATGAAACCTATGGACACATTCGCTTTGAATTCGTGTTCCTTTGGAGTCAACTGTCCCTTAACAGTGAAAGCTAACCGGAGTGAGCCCGGAAGGAACACTTGTGATTGAGTAGGAAACGGCCAAGGCATAGACCACTTTTTTGGTGAATTTTTTGTTACAAGGGGATCTTGAATTAATTGGCGTTTTTGTTACACTTAAAAAAGTTTCAGGGTAGTGAAGTCAGGTTAATAAGCCCTATAAATTGAGAAATCATGAAGAAGTAGTTGAATAGGTATGTGACCAGGGACGATACTCAGCTAACTTTAACGACTTGCCCGAAAGAAAGAAAGGAGCCCAAAAGTGTGACTGGTTTTGGTTTATTCACGTTCTTTCATGCAGATTTTATCCAGTCAGAAGCCAGCTGGAAACTGTCCTCAACTTCTGATTGGTTAATGTCTGCATGAAAGAATGTGAATAAATTAAAAGCGGTTACACTAGCTGTAAAAATTAATGCAACTTTGCATTGTTTTGAACAGGTTATTATTTTCAATAAATAGAAGAGTTCGTCCCTGATGTAGAACAGGTGGTAATTACTACGAATAATAAACTTTAGTGGCCAAACTAATGACCTGCTGGTTCTAAAACCCTCGTTCCTCGGCCCTCTTAAGAATAATAACCACGCTCTACGCGCTCGGTCATTATTTTTAAGAAGGCCTCGGAGCTCAGCCATTATCCTATGCTCAATTTTCTAAGCTCTGCTTACCTGCAGTGCACAACAATTGGTCGTCCTGTCATTTGATGCCTAACGTGAACTTTCCATCTAAATGCCAGAAGGGCTGCGGCGTGATTTGGAACACCTCTGTCAGGCCATGTTGTGTAATGGTATTGAAGAACCTCGCGCTTTTCTGAACCCTAGACGACAGAATAGTCCAGTTTCGAATTAAAAATTACCGCTGAATATAAACATTAACAGACAGATTAACAGAGTTAGCCTCGACGTAAAGTAAAATATTCAGAAATTCTGGCAAGTAAGTGTAAGTGTAAGTGTTTGAAATTTGAATATACACAATAGACAGAGTAATAAGCAGGAATTTTTCTCGTTGGAATTTGTGAATATATTACTTCCGACGGAAGTTAAGGCTGTAAAAAATGCGACTTCACTTCTTTAATTCAGCGGTCATAGCGAACTCAGAAAATGGACTGTTAATTATGTATGTGTAATCAAATGGTGACGAGTGAAATTAGGGAATAATTTCACGCGCGTTTTCTCCACTGTCCTAACAATTTCCCGATTATTCCCCAGTTTCACGAGTATACCATTTTATTACCTATTAATATTATGGATGACGAATAACACTCACAATCGTTGGTATTGGACAACTTTATAAAGTTGATCATCAATCTAGAACTCCGCGCACTGAAAACTTTAGAGCTTAAATTTGGCCTTAAGTTGAGAATTTTTCGACAAAATATCTGTTTGAATCCTTCTTGATGTGCTCTTTCATGTGTTTAGGTTTTCTAAAGCGTCTTTTAATGCCTGTGACATCTTTAT